TTATCTTATTCAGATTTAGTGACCATTTGATGGTATAATGTTCTTTTATATCTTGAGTGGCCTGATATTATTATAACAACTGAATTTCTCAAACAAGTGTTTGTATCTTACGTGTGCATAAATTTATCATCAATTTAATTAATAATCAAAAAAAATTATATTACATTTTTTTTGGAAATTTGCACACTTCGATCACATACAATGTGGGGATTGAATGTTTCTATGTTATAAGTTTGTTTTATACTTGCCACGTTTAAATTTATTTACTCAAATTTGTAATAATAATATATAAATCATTTATAAGTGAAGTTGTAGTACATTTTTTTGTAAATAAACATATCCTTTGAGCCTGAACTAAACATCAAAATAAAAAATTATTACACAAAAGTGGTAAAATACGTTGTATTGTTAAAAAAATACTCGAATATGTTGTGTATGATTAATAATCTAATTAAAAGGTCTAATGCACTACTACATTATTATTTATTTGTTACCTATTATATAACATAATTTACTGATTAAATTAAAAATATTATTTATATTATTCGTTGTATTTATGTATAATGTGTTATTTCGGTTATTCAAATCAGCTGTATAACATTTGTATGCATTAAAATTAACGACATGATTGTTTTCCACGCATCTTGCAAAATTTGAATTCTGATTAGTTTTGTTTTAAATTCCTATTTCTGCTTCTTTAGTGTTTTAGTAATTCTTGACAGTTTTTACTAATATGGAATTTGTTACAGCGTTGTCATGTATTAAAAAATAATAAATTAACATCATAAAAAGCACATTAAATTAATAAAATAATATTATTTCCAAAAAATAATTTTTATTATTATATTATTTCCATATAATAATAAAATACAAATGACTTAATAAATATTTTATAGCATTTTTATTAAATTTTAAGTTATTCAAAGAAAATATCACTTTTAAGAGAAACTTTTGTAACTTTCGGGAACATTTCAAATAAACACTATTGTATTATATTTAAGTGTAGTCTAATTATAGAAATTCCCCTGAAAGCCTGTCACTTTTAATCATTGTATATTTTGACTAGCCAGCTTTATCATAGCTTGTCATTTGTCAAAGATCGAATTTTAATATATATTTTTTAACAAATAAGAATTTTCATCGTATTGAATGGTTACAAGTGAACTTTTTCAACAAGGCCTACTAAAGTACATAACGCGCACACTTTATAAAATCTAACAATAAATTCTAAACTGCATCAATGTGGATGAAAAACCTTCGAATGACGCAAACAAAAATGTACCGGCTAATAATAATTAATACCCATTGTCGTTAATTAAAACTAATCGCTCTGTTGAAAATTAATGGAAAAAAAAAAAATAATAGTGTTGTATGAATTGAACTGACGACTTACAATAACGTAATTGTTGTCTTGTCGCCGATTTTCCAGTAACATTATTGAATGACTTTTGTATTTATTTTTTTGTTTCGAACCCGATTTGGATGTCCTTCGCGAGCAACACGATTCATGGGTATACAATCGTCTGGTCGCTTTTTTCCAATTAAAGACTCGACCATTGTTAGAAGTTATACTACGGCTATAATTATTATTGACAGCTATACTTTCCCCCCTCCCCCCGCCAACATACCCGCTTAACATGTTTGCTCGTCTCTGTGGTTTTAGCCGAACACTCGAAATCGTCATTCATTTTCAAAACAACAACACAACAAAACAGAATCAAATGGTTTTTATTTTTGAACGAGGAAACAGACATTTGTAATAACGTCATACTTCCGACTGATGTTTACGATTAGAATGGACTGTGTAGAATTTTTTTACCGTCAGTAGTCACGTTTAGACGTGCGACAACAAAATAGAATATAGCCCATATTATTGCATTCTTCGTAGTCCTTGACACTGGTCGGCACTACGTGCTGACCGGTTGGCCTATTGAATATAAATCTGTAAATTATTATTATGTAGAGACCGGTGCGGCGCCTTTTTTTACCGTGCGAGTCGCATTTTCGGCGTAATCGTCTCAATCGTTTGAGCTTGCGCAACACAAATAGTATTGCTGTGACAAAGATACGTTATTATTTTTGTATCTGCACCCGCGATATCTTGTAAACCGCTGGACCGCGGTTTATGCAGCGAATCTAAAATGTAATAAAAATATTACCTCTTCCTTATAAAAAATCGAAAAAAACAACCCAAAAATGTACGAACTTTTCAATTAAATTTATGACACACTATGCAACTTTAAAAAATATTCAAATTACTACCGATATACAATGAAAAAATCAATAAAATATTATTTACCTTTCTGTATACTGTACATGTGTGCTATAATGTCTTTCGACGAATAATGCAATAAAAACAATTATTTACCTTTTCCTCTAGAAGGGGTTGAAACTTTTTTTTTACATTTGTAGGCGTAACTTTTGGACTTGAGATCTACAGATTAGATTAAAAGTAGATATAGTATGGCCCTATAACATGTTATATAATTTTTTTTTTTTAAATCTGTCATCAAACGTTTTTTTTTATTAAGAATAACAAACAAAAACTAAAGACACGATTTGTTTGACCGGTAAAAATTGTCAGTAGATTATTCTCGACCTAAAAGTTTACAATTTTGTTAAAACAAAATGTACAGAGAAACCCCAAAAAAATCAAACTAACCTATTAAAACCATAGTTTTCAGATGTTGACGGTTAGGTTAGATGATGTGATTGCGTAGGGAATTTGTTATTGGCTCGCAAACGATCGGGGTTGGAACGAGATCGATATATTTTTATCGGTGCCGTTTTATTGTGTCACTTTTATAAAATTACAAGGCCATTTTCGGTGGAAAGCATAAGAGTTATATGACTATATAGACGCATTATTATAATAACGTTATTTACCAGAGGACGGGGGACGTGGTGTGCGTTTATATGATAATTTCCCAAGTGGCTTCAGACGAGCGAAACGATTTCAAAACTGAACAGCTGACGCTTTGTGAATTCACGGTGCGCAACATCTGTTTTTATTATTTTGAATAGCCGACAATGTGAGCGAATCGCGCCAAAGTTTTGACGATCCCCAATTGCAGCGGCCGTTTCGGCACGCACGAATAGACAGTTCGGTTAAGTCGTTTTGACACAGGACAGCAGGGGTAAGCGGGTAATATTGTTATATTACCGTCGTGCGGATGGTGTATACTATATATATATATATATATATCATTCTCTGTGACCGCACGTGGTCAAAGGTGTTGTACGCTGCTGGAGTTGGAACCGTCAATTCGAGCTTAATTACGTGCTTACGGACCATATACGACGTTTAACATCGATGTTAACCTAACCGTGCGTCCTGTTTTCCGTAGTGTCGCCGCGGGCATACGCAGCGGATGAGCTCACGTTCACCGCACTCGCCTAAAAGTACCAAAAGTACAAAAAAAACCTACCTAGTAATAACGATAATGAGTTTATGACATAATCGGCGCAAAACGAAAAATCGATTACGCAATTCGGGAGTCCTTGCACAAAATGAAATACATTACCGAGCCGAGTGGTAATAATTTATAATGAACAGTTTTTGCGTTAGGGTAAACCGACGGCAGTGCGTCTGGACGGCCGTGGACTCGGACGGGACCGAAAACCCGTTCAAAGCATACATTAAAAATAGTTTCATTGATAATCGAAACGGTGAAAAACGCGTATTTTTATCCCGCCGGCGACCGCTGTGCATATACCGGGGTTACTGTACTTTGAAGGAGTCGTTTAAAAAACGATGCAACAAAAAAATCGTCTGTCGATAAGAGGACAACGTGTCGAGTCGCATAAATCATAATGGTCGATACATTAGAACGGACGTTGATTGCTAAAGCGGAATATTTGTTAATAGGTTTATGATTTCGCGCAAAACTATGGACTTAGCTGTACATATTAGTGCTTGACAAAAACTAGGATAGCTAGTTGCGAGGGCACCACGCCCACCTACTTATTATGTGGTAAATTTTGAGCAATTTTTTGATAAAATATAATATAAAGCAAGTAGTAACTCTAGCAGTAATAGTCCTTATTAATATTTGTATCGAACACGACACGTATAACTACATTTTTAGCTATTTTTTTTTTTTTTTTTTTGTACATAAGCATGTCTCAAGAGAATCACTTTTCTAAAGAACAAAACAGTTTTAGCGTAAGAGTGTACTTTATATAAAATTAAAGAATTTACTTGAATTTTGTCATTAGCGCTTTTAAATAAAAATATACGATAGATTAAATCACGTCCCGGGCGAGTTCGACCGTTGAGATGTCAAATTCCTACAAATTTTACATACTTTAGGATCTGAATGACAGAGGAATGAAACCGCGGTCATCCGTTTAACGTCAGCGAATACACCTGACAGCCCACGCTTGACACGATTCATGCTGCGGTTATACTTACTCCGGTTCTGTTGAAATCGACCGAACGACTTATTTTTCGACCAGACTCCCAGAGAGGGGAGGGTAAATTAATTGTTCATTTTCCAATCCAACGTAGTATTTTTTGAGTAATAAACTAACCACGTTGTCACTTGTATGCGACATTTGCAGTCGGTGCAGTGCCAGCAAACCATTTTTTTTTTATTTTCTTTCATTCTTGGCAAACCATCCGGATTCGCTTGAGTAACTCGTGCGTTTTTGTCGTCTGCGCAAATATCAATAATTTTACACGTTGTCTGAAGCCTTGATTGAGCAGAAGTAATTTGCTTTGATAAAAAATCAGACGCCGTTCGACTGTCACGGACCGAAGGAGAACGAGGGCGGCACTGGCGTTGGACCATCGCCGTCGATAAAATCCGTTGACGGTAAACGTTTTTATTGCAGCAATTACTGCGACTGAATTTCCGTTTCCTCCGTACGACACTCTGACAAACATAATTTACCAGTCTTTGCTGCGCCTTTAACACAGCGGCCACAAGCAGTGTATAATAATAATAATAACCGTTTACGTCAGTTCTAATAGTTACGGGTTTGCGTTTGTTTTACAGACTTGTCATTTTGACGTGTATTGATGCTATAGCGACTGTGATAGCGTAGCGAAATGGAGGTGATTCCTCTCATGAGGAGCTCGGCTACCGGTTCGGAAACGTCCAACGGCGGCGATAACGGCATCAAGAGACGCGTTCAAGAATGGTCAAGACTGGACAGGCTAACGGGCATATTGGAACACGCCAGGGTCGAAGCCGACCAATGGTCTAATCACACGGCTAACACAAAACACAAGTACGGCAAGGTAAGCGTACAGTCAAATGTTAAAAAAAAAAAAAAAAAAATACTATAATTATAAATTGGTAGAATTTATGCCCAAATATGCCGCCCCCCCCCCCCCCCGTGGACAATCGTCGATTCGCATCCCTCTCAGACCGCGAGTCCGACGCCTTACAACCAATTGCTTACAGGTCGATAGTGGGTTTTTATTTTTTAACTATAATACTAACGATGTACGACGTAATCTGTACATGTCTATAACGTAAGTGTTTGCCAAAGTAACTGAAATTCTACGAAATGCCTAATTAAATGGAAATTGCCGTGTGTTGATTCAAACTGATTTATGGGTAATTTCCTTTTGTGAAACACTCAATATTTGTATGGCATGAAATTTAAAAATTATATATCACCGTATATAGTCGTTAAGCACATTTTAACATCCGGTTCATTGACCAAAACAGCAATTACGCATAATTATTTTATTAATAATCAACTCCATCCTTGGGTCGCTCTTAACGCCGAATCATGTAAAACATCAGATGCGTGTAATATGTATGTCGATTAACTACGGTTACCATGATAGTAAATTGTCCATTTTTCTTCTAGGTAGTAGACACACGAGCTAGAAATCTCGCCGATGGCAGTAAAGAACAAACCAAACAAACTAAACAGCTTGAAGTGTTTCAAGCTCACACGGGCGGGTGCTCGGTTCAAGTAATCAGATCTCAAACGAGTACCACCAGCTCTTGGCACAATTCAAATGTAAGCAATTCAACACAAATCAATCTTAATACCGAAAGCACATGCATCGGATACCTAATTGAGGCGTGATCTTGGAAAATCTAAAATGTTATTCTCAACAGTAGTCTGTGCTCTCCCGGTGGTTAGGGTATAAAGAATTCTACACCTGTCGTAAAAGGCTACTGAAGTGACGTAGAGCCCTCCGACAAGTGGCCTTTCCGACTGGTCACTTCTTCTTGTGACACGACTTCTCCGGCCAGCAATTAGCACCCAGTGCTACTAGTCGGTCCGCAGTCGTGGGGATCCCTTCGGGGCGAACCACCAAAGCCAAGGAACAGCTTTATATTAGATATTTAACTAGATTTTTTTTAGACATTTGTTTTTTTTATATTACGCAGGCTGTCGCGGGAACGTTCCAATGGCCGTCTTCGATATTTGATAAAAGAGAACCTCAGTTCGACGAGCTTCAACTGGAATTTAGTCCTTTGGACGTTAGTTCTCAGAAAAGCAAAGCGAGCGTCGCCAGAAGCGGATCGATCAGTAACAGAAGACCTCCGACTCGCCGTCCCCATGTGGTTACGACGAATTTGCCGGTTATCGACCTGGCCGATTCCACAGACAATGCCGATGGGTCAGACGATCATCGGGACCACAACGCGGACACTTACACCACGAACCTGAGCCGTCACAAGAGTTGCTCCAACGACGAAATACGCAGCGAAACCACCGAGTCGGACGACTTTCTAGACAGGTCTTCCAGATTCCGTAGGTCGTTGCAGTTCACCCAACCGACGGACGTCGAGGAGTCCAGTCACAAAGTTGCCGGAGAATTGGAAGACGTGCTGAAAAAGGTGTTGGGCAAAAAGATGCATGTCATCAATCGAGAAACGACCGACGACGGCGACAACGACGATGGTCCGCTGTTGAAACCGTCGTCTCTTTTAAAAAAACCGTCGTTCGTCACGGTAGAGAGCTTAAACAAAACCAAAAACGGTTTGCGGCGACTGGACGACCCGGGCAAAGAAGACGACGGCATCGAGACGGACGCGAAACCCGCCGGGAACACCAGGAGTTTGGATTATAGAGGTTCAGCGTTACACCGAACCGAAGAATGGTACAACAGGCGCAAGTCTTACGGTTTTGAACAAATGGCGGCCGACCACGAAGATAAGTACGCGGCCGAACTTTCGGCTATCGACTCGTCGACGGACAGCGGCATTTGCCATTCTACCGAAAACGGTCTTTCCAACTCGAGCCGACAATCTTCGACGGACCGCGAATCCATCGCCGATCTAGTAAAAAAATACTCGAACAAAGAAATCAACAACAACAACAATAATAGTCCGGTGCAAGCGTATAGCACCACAGTGGTGGCCAAAGGAAGAATACTGGAAGCGATCAACAGCCTGAGAACGAAATCCAACGCTTACTTTGACACCACCACGCCTGGCGAAACGACGGCGCTAGTGTTGAGGAATAACGACAAAAGAGACAAACAACAGGTGAGTGATAATATGCTCTCAATATTATTATTTGTAATTTTAACCTTTTTTTTTTTTTTTTTATAGGCAAACGGGAGAAGGCTATCCGTGGACGCGGATCACGTCATGGAAAAGAGCCCCAATGAAGAAGAAAGTCCCAAGCGTCATTCTATAGCGGTGGTAAGCGAAGTTATCCTGGATAGGGATTCGAGCTCGGACAAGAAGAACGTCGGCAAGAAGGTGGAGTTTTGCAGGACAGAAGTACATTTCGACACTACTCCTGGAAAAATAAACATTGTCGACATGGAAGATAAACCGGCGCCGGCCCAAGCGTACAGACCGAAAAAAAGGTATCACGAAGCCTAATATTTTCTATCCCATATTTATCTTCACGTGATTACTTCACTATTCACTCAGCTTACATTCTGTATTCATGTTTTTATGTACACGTACGACATCCATTTTGGTGTATCTCTAAATCGTTTTAGAATAAAATGATTAAATAATTTCTTCAACCCGATTCATTATTTTATTGTTATCACTTTTTTAATATCACGTATCCATTTCAACTTATTTATTTCAGCTGCTCGCATATTCATTTCGATACGCATATTCAATGTCTAAGTCTCATCACTCAGTCGATCGACTGGCGTTTTATTCCACTCCTCCATTGTCTTGCATAACTTAGCTCTAACACTTAAATTTCCATTCTATTTACAACCGCGCCTCTTTGCATAACGGGTTCTCTCTGCGCTTGCAGGTATAACCGTCCGCCGGAAAAAAGCAACGGACTGCCGGAATATCATTTCGGGGAAGTTCACGGAGACGTGCAAGTAATGATGAACGGTCACGCCGAATGCAACGCTGCCGAAGACGACGACAACAACAAGCCCAAAAGCATATTAAAGCAATGCCAACAACAGCAGCAGCAGCAGCAGCAGCAGGCTGGCAAGGAAGAGAGCTCGGGCATGGCCTCTGACAACGGGATTGAAGTGCGGATCTCCTCGACAGAATCTACTCCAGTAGACTATCGGCGAGCGTCCTGGTCAGTGGCCGACAGGGTAAAACAAGTGGAAGCCGTCGGGTTCTCCACCAGAGTGAACTTTACCGAAGGCGAAACCACGGCTGTCGGTTTCGATCCGGCCGACCCCAAGAGGTACCATCGTTACTCATACAACGGAACGGGGTCGCCGGTCTGGTATCAGAACAGCGGTAACGCATCAGGTACGCTTTTGATGATACTGATAATTACCATTTAACACGAACGCCTCGGATAGTATTTACGGTCAGGCTTCATCCCAGTAACAGCTTAAACTAACTTTCGGGGCACTTGCTTACACTATAATATGATGATGTATCATGTATGAGTGTACAACCTTTCTTTGTAACCCGCGATAGCTTTCAACGTTATCGATGATCGCAATGCGCACTTAACTGCTTCAATAAATTGTTGTATTTTTTTTATTTTTAATAAAAAACATTTTTCTAAAGGGTTTTTATGCGGGTAACGGAAAACCTATCCTTTCTTCGTTGGTAAGTTGACGATTCATTAATAATTCGCCGACCGGGGGGGGGGTTATATAAAAGTGAGAATTCATTGACTACCGTGGTAGGATCTATTACAAGGCATAAAGCAAACGATGTGTTTCGTGTTCTGTGAAAACGACAAGGCGGCTGAATTTTTATTTTTTATTCAGAACTAATTTATTAGTTAAAAAAATAACTCGCGACGATCACGTGTGAATAACAAAACAAATTATTATTGTTACAGCTGCGGTAAAAGTTTCTCTCTTGTTAAAGCTCATCAATTATTATGGACAGGAGTTTAAATTACTAAACAAAAAAAAAGTTTTTCAGCCGAGTCTGCAACCGCGAAAGAGCATTTTCATGTTTCGTTAAAGTACCGAATAAATTTAGAGTAATGGTGGAATTATAGACAATGAAATAGTATATTAACAAGCTAGTATCTAAGGTGGCTGGTAAACATATCAAGTTTCTGGCTTATATTTTAGTGATTTCATAATATCTGGCCTTAAACAATTCACAGGAAATACAACATATCTCCCACCCCTATCTCCCATCCCCTATCCTCCACCCCCTATCTCCCACCCCTATCACCTACCCCCTGTAATGCTTTTGTAACGAACGCTTTTTTCGGTTATGTGCCAGAGCTAAGACATGAAAATGTCAAAAGTTCACATTTTATATTAACTTTTCCCTTGGGTTAACTAAAGAAACAACTAATTTATATAATATCTTTCCATCCGTTCTAGCACTAAATTATATAAGGGATGGCCTCGTTATCACCGATAGTCTATAATAGTTGGCTATTTACAAAATCCAAAACTCATAATGCATTATGTTAACTCTGAAACCTCTTAGCGTCTTTAAGTTAATTTAATACAAATCACGAACATGGGTCACTTGGTATTGCACATAAGTCATAACAAACTGAGATTAATTTAAATTTTTTATATTTTGTACCGACCATAACTGAATTTTAATTGTATACAACATGAGCAATTTTTTTTTAACGTATTAAGACTGTGTACGATTAGTTTAATATCGCATACATATTTTGTTTTATATTGCACATTTTCTTCTACAATTGTATACGTTTTTTTCAAAAACTACAAAGAAATATTAATAATAACAATAAGGGTATGGCTTGTATGTGTACCTTTTAAGAAAAAAATGTTGTGTTTTATCATTTTTAGCCAAATGTCATGTGCTTTTGTAACTTCTTGAATTGGCATTGGATACAATAACACATCCAAACTTTAGTAACAATAGTAGTCTAGTAATTGTAGTAAACACTAATTAGTGATGGAACTCCGAAAATAAGATATATATAAGATAAATTTATTTTTATTTTTATAAGATAAATCGTAATATGTTTGACTTGAAAATATTTAAAAATAAAATTAAAAATGACTAGACTTAGAACTATAATATCGTTTAAGTTTGAAAGATAATAAGTTCACAACTATGTGTTTTTAAAAACCTATAGTTGAAAAAAATATTAGTAAAACGATTCACAAGAGCTATATTCACTGACATGCATTTAAGTACTATTTCTTTGGAATCCTTTTTTTTTTTTAAAAAAAGTCTTGCCCAGAAAAACGTAGATAGTTAAACTTTTCATCTTTTAAACGCTATGGTATTTACGGCTTAACACGTTCACTGTCCTAATGTTAAATTAAATCAAAAGTTGTCAGTCCTATGATCTATATATTGGTCACGTTAAACCTATTTTAGTAGTCCATGTATCCACATGTGGTTCATTTCAAACATTTATTTCTCTGGAGATTTATCTGCATGGACTATATTCTATGAAATTCATAATAAAACAGTTGGACAGGTGAGATGATAGGGACTCAATTAATTAATTAATTAGGGACTTGCCTATAAATAAATCATGAACCACATAGGGGTCATCGGACAGTGAGCGTGTTAACGTTTATATCGACTTTATGCACTATGCCATCGGTTTACGTATTGTATTTATATGTATTAATTATAAAGCTTTTAAATTGCTTCTGTAGCTAGCTTAGCAGCTATTTGTACTTTTTTTTTTTTTTTAATTCGGTTTTTGTGTTTCAAATAGTAGTATACTTACTGTAGTAATAGTAGTAGTAGTAGTAGTAGTAGTACTTAGTAACTGTTGTTGTAATACCGTGGAATGTATCTGTGGCTTGTGTTTGAACTGTTGTATGTCTTGCAGCATGGCAAAAATGTAATTATAAGAAAGCATGAAGCATTTATACATCGGAAGGGGTAGTATGTGTGTGTGTGTATTAATGGCCTCGGACACGTTGCAGATACCGCGGCCAAATGCCACGAAAAACTATTGGTGCGCATCGGCGCGTCTAAATCGGGTGTGAAACCCAACGGCGACCGCCCGGCGGAATGCGTGCTGACGTCCGCGTCGCTGGTGATGAACACCGAGCTCCGTTCGGAACAGCCGAGCACGTACACAGAGGAGATGAACATGAAGATGCATGGCCGGTTCCAGAAGGCCAGCAGCACGTCGTGGCCGCGGTGCAGTCACAAGACGGCGTCGAGCGGCAGGAAATACAACCTGCTGAAAACGTGCGCCGACATCAAACGCGAACGGGCGGCCGGCCTGCCGGACGTCATCGGCGCCCTGGACGACTTGAGCAAAACGATCGACAGGCAGATCGTGGACGGCGACGACAGGCACGTGACGCTGATCCGGGTGCGACAGCCGCAGGACGAAATCCGTGGCCGGCTGGAGTACGTCAAAGATCTCATGAGTACGGACGAGACTAGCGAGGAGAGTATGAAGGCTGACGAAGAGGTCAGGTCGTACATGGCGGCCGACTGCAACGACGAACAAGACTGCCCACCTTTTACGCCCGAGTGCGACAACAACCTGAAAAAGCTCATATCGACCGTTCAACAAAATATCAAGCAACCGTTTTGTAATAAAGGTATAATTTCGTTTGCTAGGAGAAAGTGTGCAATTTACTACAACCGTATCCCACGCCCGGAAAATGATCAATGCCAAATAACAATAACAATGATAATAATAATAAATAATAGTATTAATCCTTTTAATAAGAAACGCAAATATGTATAACAGCCGTTAATAAGAGGTAAATTTTCGTTGTATTTTTAGACGGTTTTGTCAAACAACCGGATGCCAAACCGTACGAACCGTCGACAGTGCCAAACGTCACTTCGGTGCTCTTGATCCACGAAAAACAATCGGAACCGTCCAAGTTTCAACCGGTAAAAGTACACACTATACAAACGACTGTGCTTAACCGTGATTTCGACGTGGTGCTCCCACAGAAAGCCAGTAAACGAGTGCCGGTAAGAATCGTTCAAGATAACCGCAAAGAAAAACCGAAGACATCAGCACCGACCATCAAAAAGAGTACTGCCACCGTATCGTTAAAACAGGTAAAATCGAACAATAAAAAAAAAATAGGACTGTTTAAGAAATACCCACCTAAAAAGTAGCCCCTACAAATCCAAGGCACACAGAAATATAATTTAAAAATAATTTATTTTAAATAATAATCGATATTTAAGTCTAATTATCTGTTAAGTAATTTGATTTAATAACATTTTATACATATTTTTCAAGTAAATTTAGTATAAGTCACCTTTACAAACCTCATTATAAATTCATTTTGCTGACCTTTTACAAAAAATAATTTCCTCTTTTTTTTTTTAATTTGTGTTTATCTTATTTGTATATATATATATATTTATCAGGTTTATCATAAATGTATAGTTGCCTTTCTCACTCGAGAAACTACAAACCACCTTGAAAGTACTAAGAAAAATGTTAAGTTGACTTGAGACATGTGGTTTATAAATTAAAAACTTAAATGTCATAATTTAGAACATTCGCTGTTGTAGGCCTTCTTTTATGTTCAATAATAACAATGACCCAACCATGAAGGGTAAAGTACCTTTGTTCAACAATTATCCTTATTTAACTTTCACGGACGCCACTTAAAGTGTATAAAATTACATAGCCACGTTGCAAATTGCATTGCCTTTTTAAAAATTCCTATGCCTGTAGACCTTTCTTTACCCAGTCCGCCACTAATAAAAGCCCTTGCCTGGAGGGTGATTTGTCAACTGACAAACGCGTTAAATCAAAAATAGGCTGTTTCGATGATAAAATATTGTTTCTAAAATCGGCTTTTTTTAAACGTTCCAGGTTCCAATGACGGTACAGCCCAAGGTGATGTGTCAAGAACAAGAAAAAAAAGTGGACAAAAAAGAGACGGTCTACGGTAACGTGGGATACCGGGCCGGCAGTCTCCGGATCAAAGACAAAACGTCCAACAGCAGAACCCAAGATTTATTCAACACGGGTAGAGACAGTTGGTTAAACATGCCCAAGGACATGGGTCCCAAGCTGAACAAGTCCAAGGTAAGCACGTTCAAGCAAAGGGGTCGGAAAGACACGATGGACCTAGTGGAGGCGTCGGTGCTAGAGGAGTTGAATAGGGCGGCTGATGAGATACTCAAAGCTGTCAACGGTTACACCGACGATGAGTCGCAAATGCCAACAAGCGGCGACGACAGGAGAGCTGCCAAGGCCGACGAAACAAAGTCAAAAAACAAGAAAAGAGCTGCCAGGCTTTTGCAAAGGGCCAGCAGTAGGGAAGCACTGCTTCATTTGGACGAGGCGAGTTCGTCAGACGAAGAAGTCACCGACGAATCACAGAGGACTAAACCGAGAACTCAGAGGAAAACCAAATCCCAACAAATCAATAATAGTGTTGCCACCAAGACAACGACCAGCTTCGCTAAAAAGTAATTCGTTTTCATGATAAAATGTTATTCAATTGAAAAAATATTCAATCGTTAATTTTTTTGTTAGTTTATTTGAATATTTTTTGATATGATTTATTCGAATAAAAATGTAATTAAATAGATAACAAATAATAAAATAGTAAATAATGTTATTTGAGTAAAAAAAATGTATAATACATGCAATGAGTATAAAAATATAAACTCTAAACGTCCGTGTATCTGATTTAATAAGTGTAAGGAAAATTTGTAATTTTTGTGCAGCCAAACAAGTTTTGTTTTTTGTTTAATTTTTTTTACTTATTGCAATATTAGTTAATTTTTTTTTATCTCACAGTATAGCCGGACAGAATTGCATATAATATTATAATAGTTGGTCCGTACCTATAATAAAATCGAAAATGTTATTTTTTTTCTTTAAATCGAGTTCTTCACTAGTTACACGTCTTTTGGGTGTACTCTAGCCTTAACGTCTAAATTGGCTTTTCAATTGTACAATTTTTTATAAATAGCAAAAAATTACGTTTGGTTGTTTTTGATAATAAACATTTCAATTTAAAAATCTTCACCGTCTACGAAGACCAGTGTATTTATCTATTTTTTTTTTTTTTTCAATGATAATTCTCAATTAAACTTTTCTGAAAAACAACTATTTTATAGAATACAAAGTCGCGCACAAACCAACAGCGTGACTAAACCGAACAACGTTCAACACAAAGTCCATCCAACATACTATGGAAACGTTTCGAATAACTGTACTCAAACGACGACGAGGTTTCGCAGCAGGACATCAGACACGTTGACTAAACGTAATTGTCTCATTGATGTTATGATATTGAATTGGTTTTAGATGCGGTGTATATTAAAATCGAAATATGTTTTATTTTTTTTATTTTTTTAGAATCAGCCGATCAGAAAGAGAATAAAGCAAAATATCAAAGCAGAATAACGACAAGGGTTTTCAATCCAAAGTAATGACACTAATTGTTTTATGAGGACGATACACACAAAGTCAAACATATTAAAATTATTAATGCCGTTCCATTACAACTTTTTTTCAATTCGAACACGCGGGTTTCAAAGGGTTTTAATATAAAACAAATCAAGCCCTTAAATAAGCACGCACAATGTCTGATATTATAAAAAAAAACTAAAACAAAATCGCTACTTAAAAAACATTTGAACGCTTCGAATCGAATATAGTCGTTTTTTATACACATCTGAACGACTTCTTATAATAATTACCAACATAATATTTTGTGTGTACAATGTCCTCTTTGGTTATAACGTTTTAGAACACTTTATTTTCATATAATGTGTTATTATATTTTATAGGAAATCCAAAAGCTCCGCAGAAGAAAATAGAAATCGTGTTAAAGGAAGTTAATTATAGTTTATCGAACTTTTGTTAAACGTTGTATATATTATATATATATATATTTTTTTTTAATGATATTTTATATCTAAATTAACATTATATAATGACCATTTATGTTGTTTTACCTGGTCATAACTATATATATATATTAATTTATACATAAATTGTGTTTATATAAACAAAAAAATTTGGATAAAGATAAATTATTTTACCTAATCTACTTGTTTTTTATCCATTCTGTCTTTCAGTTTATTATATCATTGTGTTACTCGGATTTGTCATTCTCCCCATCCGTCTGATGGCGTTTTAAATGTTGTTAATCCTAATATATTTTTTTTTGTAATTTGTAAGTTTAAAACAATTAACGAAAATAAATGTGATTTTGTCATATAGAATATGTAATTTTTACCATCACGTCGTTTCCTCGTATGAACAATATACAGCTTGCTTAACTATACACCTACAGGTAGGTATACCTAAGCGCATGAGGCATGTAGTAAAGACTCGAGAAAAACGCAGGTAGCTACAGACTACTTAACTTACTTGGAATGAGGGTCTGAAATTTTACAGATCATTTAAAAGACCGACAGAAGAAATAAAAAAAAGTTACTGTCTATTTAAAGCCTAACGGCCAAAATTATAAAACATGGAACATGCTTTAGCCTGCTAGCTCCTGAACAGTGATCATTTCTGATCTATAATTTCCTTGTGATTGATGACGATAATATAGTCTTAATTATATGTTCTGGCCAAAACGTTTGCATGACGACGACGGCTCGTCATTTTTTCGATGGCATCTTATATGTTACTATACGATTAAAGTAGGCGCGCTACTTTCGTGACGCTTTTTTATGTCGTTTTCGAGCTGGGAGGTCAAGACTAAAGCATGTTCTAAAAGATGAAATAATTACTTTGATTTAGTTAATATATACAAACGAGTTTTATTATAATTATTATCTATGGTTAAGATTTACCGATTAAATAATTTTGTATTTCAAATAATACAATTTAAACACAGAAGTCGAGTTATCAGTAACAATATATTAGTAAGTAGAAAATCTAAACATAATACAAACACATTGAGATGATTACGACTGTGCAATGAGGTCAATGACGTTTGTAAACCTTCTAACGCTCTTGTTTCGAATGTAGCAAAAAAAGCAATTAGATTACTCTTATGATAATAGCATTTTATAATAATATAAGTAAGTTTGTTGTTGCACGTATAGGTAGATAACTCATGTTTATAATCAGGACCAAGGGGTGGCAACGGGAGCCAAAGGTGCCACAAATTTTAGGGATGCCAAAAAAATATGAATACATGTTAATTAGGGCGCCAAATATATGATTGCCCTAGAGCGTAAATTACAGTTGACATAGCATGGTTTATAATATGTATACTACTATTATATATCTATTTATAAAATTAAAAAATGTATTACATTGTTATTTATGGGGAATTTAAAAATGTTTGAACTATAGCCTGACACTTGAACTCAAATACATATTAGTTACTCAAATATGGTAATTGGTATTTAGCATCAGACATTTTTTTAATTTTTTTATAGACGCCTAACAACTTGCAATATTATAAAGATAGACATAAGTGTTTATTAAATAAAAATCATTGATTTTCGGAACATCATACTGTTTGTACTTTTATACGTAAGATATCAAACTAATGACTGTAATAATTATTATATTATTGTATTGTTATAATTACAGGGTAAAATCCCTCGTGCACGTTTAAAAAAAAGTTACCTTCAAACGGTCACACTGATGTTGGCGTGGCAATCAGAGAGCCTTATATTCAATTATTTTGTTCTAACCCCGAGTGAACACTGAACAATCTGTTTTATAAGAAACGCTATTATTTCAAGTAGAAACAAAAATGTAGTTATTCTAACTAATAATTCTTAATTCGCTCTAAGTACTGAACAGGAATCATTCACACAACTGTAACTGGGACTTGACATTTGTCTAGGGTTTTTATATAACCATAGAATGCAAATCTATATATATATATATATATACGGATTAGAGTATGGACTGAGACAAAAAAATAAGTTAACTTGCATTTATTAAACATATTATTATTTACAAATAATGGTCTCAAAAGATATGGATTTTTGAAAAGCAAAATTTTTTTCATTACGTATATCCTTCTATATATATATTCTATAATAACTTTTGTTCTAGTGAATATTTTTTTAATTATTTATTTATTCTCATTTGCGCTATAAGCACCACGATTTTTATTGCACTTAACTATTTTAATTTTTTAGAGAAATGCGCGCATATAAAAAAACTTTACACGCTTACTCTACCGCACTCCACCTCCTATCCTACCCTTTAACCTTTAGTAACTAAAAAATAATTATCCAAATCTGATTATCGACCAGTCAACATTTTTAGCAAATTATTCTTAACAAAATGGCTATCTTGCATTTTTTTTAAAAATGTAACAAAAATAATTTTAAAAAGTAAAATAGTTAAGTGCAATAAAAAACGTAGTGCTTAGAGCGCAAATGAGTATAAATTATTTTTTAAAAAAAATCTTAAAAATAAACACTAGAACAAAAGTTATTTCATTTGTCAAAACATTGTGGGCCACCCTTTATATCCGAAACTCCAACATTTTTCAATTTTAAAAAGATATACGTAATTGAAAAAAATCTTGCTTTTCAAAAATGTATATCATTTGAGATCAATATTTGTAAATAATATGTTTAATAAATGCAAGTTAACCTATTTGTCTCAGTCCGTACTCCGTGATTAAAGTTCTCAAAACGTGTAAAATTCATATAGACAGCAAAAAAAACGAAATATTTTCATAATCTTACTAAGATATTTTGACAAATACAATAATAATGAATATAATAAATATTTATCCCGTTAAAAGCATAGAATATAATCTTAATTTGCGTTTAAAATATTTATACTGTTTATACTAATAATCGGTAAGGTATAAATATAATTAATATTCAGTTAATATAATAATATATTTTTTCTGACAAAATTTCCCACTCAATATCTTATCATTTATCTTGGCAGAAAAACTATATTGCATATTGTTTTTTCCATGTAATTTCAAATCACATGTTCGCAGACCGGCGAAGAGGCTTAAACGCAGCCAGGGGTAATTTAGTATTCACCAATAACTTTTCATCATTGATAATAAGTCACCGCACGAATCACGTTTTTTTTTTTTGGATTTTACATTTTTACCTGTAATACATCAATTGCTATTCATTATCGTACTAGTTATTTAATTCTTGACTCAAATATTGTTATTTTAGAGATGTTTCTTCATTGCTGTCTAATCTAATCTAATCTAGTAATTATTATCTATAATTCAAGTGACGCGCTTACATCTACAATGGCAACTATACTAAAATCGTCCAGGTTGATTTGTTACTCATGTAAGTAGAATACGTTATTTTTTTTTTGGCATTGGCAAGTTGTATTTTAATTAAATTGATTGTGTTAGTGCCTCGCAACAGGACTTCATCCCAACTGAACAGATGTATCCAAACGTTATGCGTAAGTTACTTGTTTCTTAGGTAGTCCAAAAAACTTGAATTTAATCATCGCATTATGAATTAATTTTGACTTAGAAATACAATGTACCGCTTCAAAAATGTATGAACGATGTCCTTCGCAGACAAAACACAGTTATTGGTCCGATTGTGGGTCGTGCTAGAACTTATGCCGCACCAAACGAAAAAAAAGTATATCAACGTAATAAACCACACTGTAATGTCGGAACTATAGGCCATGTAGATCACGGAAAAACTACACTTACAGCCGCTATAACTAAAAGTAAGACATTTTTCAATTCATATTTTTATTGGGTCCCCTTATCACTCATTAATATACATCATAACACAAAATATTTGTCTATACTTTATAATAGACAATGCCAATAAAATAAATTTAAAGTACCTAGTACATAATAGTGTTACTCAACTATTAAAAATGAAATTGATGTCGTCAATCATTATTATTATATAATACGTATTATATATACTTTTTAAGATTGCATCAATCGTGTAATCGAAGAATTAATTGTGCTAATTTTAAATTACTATTTTTATAATCTACCACAGATTGTAATTTTATTAAAACTAGGTAATGCAATTTCGACAGATAAGTTAAAAAAATATATTACTAACGTTTTAATAAAAGGTTGTTCGTTTAAAGCTTTGTCTATGCTAGTAAACCATATACTTCAATGCATAACATAGATGTGTGTGTTTGTATAACATTTCGGCAATCCACCTAATGTCAGTATTTTATATAAACATTTGATGTGTATGTTGCTGCATTTAACTATGAAACATCTGTGGTTAGTGACTAGTGTGGATAAGATTCATTTTTTTTATGAGTATAAGCTTATTTATTTGATATTTAAACATTATCATTATGATATTTATAGTTTTATCCTCTAAAAAAATGGCCAAGATGAAGCAGTATGCTGATATTGATAATGCTCCAGAAGAAAAAGCTCGTGGGATTACTATTAATGTTGCACATGTTGAATATGAAACCGAAGCCAGACATTACAGTCATACCGATTGTCCAGGCCACGCTGATTATATCAAGGTAATTTATATGAACTGTAAAAATGTTCCCCACACAATTCTGTCTATAAATAATTTGCTTATGTAAAATTTTCTACAAATAAATCTTTAAAACAGTGGCGTAGCAAAAATTGTATTATTTCGGGAAGGAAGTAACCTTTAATGTGCTAAAATTAAAAAAGTACCACGCTGCACTGTAATTAATAATTTATATTTCCTGATATTCTATAGAAAACTGTAGCCCCTCTTAAATACATCATCATCGTGTAGCTTAACGGGCCATGAAGGCCCAACGCTGCCATCATGAGATGGTTTCTTGACGAATTCGCTTCCGGGACGGGTCGTCAATCCGTCGCCGGATCTCAAATACGCTTCTGCTATTAAATAATTTAGTAATTTTGGACATTATTTATGCATTAATTTACATTATCACTTTTTTTTTTAAATAACTTTTATGTGTAGTGTATAATTTTAATAAGTATTTACATCTTATCAAAATGATTATGTAAACGAATATATCCATTTGTTATGAACAAAATATTATCATTTTACAGAACATGATCACAGGAACTAATCAAATGGACGGAGCTATATTAGTAGTAGCTGCCACAGATGGTGCTATGCCTCAAACTCGAGAACATTTACTATTGGCTAAACAGATTGGAATCAGTCATGTCATTGTGTTTATTAATAAAGTAGATGCTGCTGATACCGAAATGGTTGAGTTAGTTGAAATGGAAATCAGAGAACTGTTATCCGAAATGGGTTTCGATGGTGAAAATTTACCAGTAATAAAAGGTTCAGCTTTGTGTGCTCTTGAAGGAAAAGAACCTGAAATCGGTAAACTTTAACAAACTATGGAATTATATAACATTGATAATTTCAACCCTATTTTTTTAATAGGTGAAAAAGCTATTCTATCGTTGCTGGATGAGGTTGATAAATATGTACCACAACCGACCCGTGATCTAGATAAACCGTTTATGATGCCTGTAGAACATGTTTATTCAATTCCCGGTCGTGGAACAGTCGTTACTGGTAGACTAGAAAGAGGAATAATCAAAAAAGGAAATGAATGTGAATTCATTGGCTACAACAGAACCATCAAATCCACCATTACAGGTTAGGTTTTTAGTGTTTTGAAAAAACTCGTTGATGGACATAAATAATTTGTTTGTTTTATTCATTCTACATTCATCTGTGATAGCAGTTTTTTTTTTTTTAATTAACCAAAAAAAAAAGTGATTTATAATGATAAAATTTATCTTTTGATTATCATTCATATAACTAACACCCTTAACACAATAAAAAGGTATGTCCACAACTAAATTGTGTCAATAGCATTGATAAATTACGTACATGAACACGTACATTTTGATGTAACTAAGAAATGTTTTACTAAAAAAAATACTTATTCTGTACAATTAGGTATTGAAATGTTCCACAAGATTCTCGAAGAAGCTCAGGCTGGTGATCAGCTGGGTGCTTTGATTAAGGGTACCAAACGTGATGACTTGAGACGTGGAATGGTTTTGGCAAAACCCGGTAGTGTAAAAATGCAAGACAACGTTATCACTCAAGTATACGTGTTGACAAAAGACGAGGGAGGTAATGGCAAACCGCTAATACCTTATCAACAATTGCAAATGTATTCTAAAACTTGGGATTGTGCTGTTCAACTACATATTGTCAGCAAGGAGTTGGTTATGCCGGGCGAAGATTGCAGGTATGGTATCAAAAATGGTTTCCAAAATTCTAATTATTATTGTTTACCGATATTATTTTTAGCATCCAGTTAAAAATGATAAGACCTATGGTTTTGGAACAAGGACAAAGGTTTACATTGCGTGTCGCTGGCACAACGGTTGGTACAGGTGTCATCACTGATGTCAAGAAGAGGTTATTAGACGAAGAACGACGGTCGTTAACAGAAGGAAAGAAAGCACGTGAAAAAAAGGCTGCAAAAGCTGCTGAAGTTTAATTAGTATTATTCCTAATATTTCCAGCACTAAAGCCAATACAATGTAAATAAACTAGTGTGCGACATAGATAACGGACATTATAAATTGTAGTATTTGTGTTTTCACATTGAATTACTATTTGGATATTTAGCCTGTCAGATTAAATAAAACCCATTTTTATAATAAATAATATAAGATTATATATACATATTTTTTTTTTTAGTTATCGATAAAACTTGTCTTGAATTTATTTTTCCGAATACCACAAAAATATTTTAAAGTTTTTAATTACAATCCAACAATTTTTAGAACAAATATAAATAATCTTTTATAAAACTTTTATTTTACAAGTGTGAAAACATTTGTATTATTCAAAATAAAAAACTTCAATACAACAAGCAAAGAATATTAGTGAATGGTGTTTTATTAATGATTACTTACCGACTTAAGTAATTTATATTAGGTTCATATTTTCCTTGAATTTGAATAGAAAAAGAAATATTTTAAATAAATACAGAATACAGCCAAAAAACATATTGCACAAACAATTTATTTATTTTTTTAATTACTGTACTTAAAATGTTGAATAATATATGTAAAACCTCATACGTGTTTCCATAGATTTTCATAAAAACTAACATATTAAAAAAAAATATATTGATTTTTATATTTTAAGACAACATCCACTATCCTAAAAAATCAGCAAAGAAAAAATGTTTTAAGTGAAAATTAAAAAAAAAAACAGATGGAAAAGTATCAAGAAATTATGTTTTTGGGTAAAGGTACATTTGGTACAGTTATGAAATGTTTTAACAGAACTACTAAACGTCTAGTGGCCATAAAAAAAATGCTCAACAAGACGGATAGCCATTTTAACAACGAAATGATAGTGCGTGAGATAACATTGTTAAAGATGTTGAAAAACAACCACATTGTTGAAATGATCGAAGTGTTTCGTTATGCTGGATGTATTTACATTGTTTTTCCGTACATGACTCACAACCTTTATGAATACATGAAATTAAAAAACAGTACCCTAACTTTAAATGAAACCAAGAAGTTTTCATATCAAGTAAGTAAATAGTCAACATCGTAGTGCTGAAAAAAATATTATATGCTTTATTAAATGAACTCTGTGTATGACTAAAAAATCAGTTCAGATGTGTGATCATATTTTGCAAAAATGATTGAACAATAAATAAAAGTCATGAATAATTTATTATTAATTTTATTTATAAATAAATTATTAACAAATAAAAATAGTCATTTTCATGAATAACTAAACAGGAAATCTAATACTTGCCTAATAAATAATATAAACAATAATTTATTATGAATAATTATTTAAAAATTAACAAAATAATACCCATCTCTGCCGATCACCTTTTATTTTATTTTAAACTTATTATATTTAAAAACTTTTCACGTTTGATTTATGAATAAATGTTGTTTCAAAAATAACAAGTTTGTCATATGTTTTTTTTTTTTTTTTTGTGAGTATTTTAACCAAATTGGTGGTTAGGTTACATAATTTAATTTTTTCTTATATAACTTTTTTTAGTTATTACTTAAATACCTATAATTTATTTTACAAACGTGTCCACAATGCTACATTATATTAATTCCCATATTTCATAGGATTAACTATTAGTAGTAAATAACTTAGCAGTTTTTATTCTACAAAACAAATTGACTCCTTTGAAAATTGTTTTTAATTTTTACTAATTTTCATGTCAAAAAATTATACTTCCATTAGGTGTTAAAGGGGTTGCAATACATACACTCGCGGAACATATTGCACAGAGATGTTAAACCAGAAAACATATTATTTTCTCAATCCGGCGTTATAAAAATATGTGATTTTGGCATATCTCGTGTATATACATCAAATGATTTATTAGATCTCAGTACTAAAGTCGGAACTATCTGGTATCAAGCACCAGAAGTTTTGATGGGATTGAAGAAATACAACTCGATGATAGATATTTGGTCGGTAGGTAAGATCCAAGACTGATCAACCATTCCGTACACGTAACAACAATAATATTTAGGTATTTTGATGACGGAACTACTTGAAAGTCTACCGTTGGTAATGGAAGACACGTGTATAGCTCAATTGTACAATATTGTTAAAATATTGCACTGCAACGAAACCATCCATTCATATTTGAACAAGAAAGGCTATAAAATAAACGTGTTGCCACAACCTAGTAAATCTTATGGATTGGCCATAACCGCTATGCCACTCCGTGAGAAATATCCCAAATGGCCGTTGAGCGTTTTGGAAATAGTAACATACTGTTTGCAACTGGAACCAAATAATCGCAAGACTGCTGCAGAGTTGCTCGAAACTGAATTCTTTACAGCCGGTACGTTTTTATCAAAGTTCAACAAGGAATTGGCCATTAAACTAGAACATGAAAAAAAATAATTTTAAACAAGTTAAAATAATAAAGAGAAAATTGTTTTATAAATTATGTATACAATTTCTTTATAAAATTGTTGGTGGTACATAAGTGATAAGACGCCAAAATGTATTTGCTATTTTAATTAAGTTTTCAGATAATTTTTGGGGCATAATTATAGTACTATATCTATTCACGTAAGTTCAGGACAAATACACTTTTTTGAAAAATATTTTAACGTCTTAATTTTTAAAATATTTTTCTCGCTTTTTGGCTTTATAAAAGTACATTAAAATATGATTTTTGACGACTTCAAAAATACTGTGGGTCAAGCAAGCATAAAAATAGTAAAATAAAAACACATTATCCAAGGCGAAATTAATTCACATTTATTCATTAACCCAAACAAAATATATTTTTCTGAATAATTGAACTATTAGACAACCAAAAAAAAAAAAATAGTTTAAACAAAAATATTGTTTTGAACTTTAGTTTTTTTTTAATGGCATGTAAATTGATTGTCTATTAATTTAATAATCCAATTATTTAGAAAAAAAATATTTTTTTTAAATAATGAATAAAATTGCCTTGAACTATAATCTATATCCTTGATTTAAATACAAACATATTGCTAGTTGACTAATCTCCATTTTGATGGTTGTGAACAAATATTTTTTCCATTGCCGCATAAACGATTAAATGTCGTTTCTGGAGCATAACCCAGAATTTCTCGTTCTTCTTGTATTCTAAATGAAAATGTAGACTCATGTGTGCCAACAAAAAATCTAAAAACAAAATTTTAATTTATCTATAAATGTTTAATATGTATATGTATAATGTAATATAAATTTCTTAATTAAAAAAATTAAATGAAATAGAAAAATTGCTTACTTAGCTCGAGAACAAATTATTTGATCGATAATTGCTACTCCGCCATCCTTGAACAATCTCAAAATTTCCTTATTGGCTTCAAATTTAAGCACTCGATAACCTTCTAACGACTTTTTAAGCTGACGAACTTCTATTATAAACAGTGTTTAATTTATTACTAACGTTTTAGTAATAAAAATAAAATAAAAAACCTGAATCTGGTGCATCAGTAGATACAAAAATAACTTGAATTTCTTTAAGAGAACGGAGTATATCGAAAATTTGTTTTGCGGCCCACTCAATAGTAGGCACTTCCTTTGGACGTCCGAACAAAAAATCTCTTCGGCGCAAATGTGCACACAAGTAATTGTCCTTCAAATGGTTTTCCTTAAATTGTTTAGCAATATTTATAAGATTTTTGGAAAACTGCATACTTTTTCTAATTAACCAATACTCTTGACCTCCGTAATATTCGTGTAACGTCACTTCAGCATGGTTGAACATTATTGTTCTAAACATTATTAATTTTAATTTTAATACAACAAATAATAATAATAAGAATACAAATTACCGAGGTTGAAAATCATTAATAATTTTGACTAAAAGTGTCGAAGGTCCTTGAAATGATACGCAAATAGAGGTGATTGCTGTTAAATTTTCTGAACTCCAAAACTTTTTTTTAATAGGTTCTATACAGTTTGCAACGTCCCAATTATCTGACCAGTCATGATTTGGATCTGACAATCCAGGATAGTTTTGCAATGTAACTTGAACGTCTAATGGCCGCAATCCATTAACTAAAAATTTGTTAGTATTAATAAAAAAAAAAATAAGATAATAACATGAAGTTATTTAAAAACACATTGTAATTATAAATACCTTAACACTTTCTAATTTATAAAAAGTAAAAAAAAAATAATTTAGTAGTAATAATAATTTTATTTTATTATGGTATTTTTAATATAAATTATATTTTAAAGAAATTTGTTTTTGTTATCAAATTAACTCACAGCAGCAAAGACTACTGAACGTTATGAAAAAATGTTATTGTAGATATCTCTAGAAATGTCTACCTTCCAAAAATTCATGCAACTCCAAAACTGGAGTAGTAGTTTTTATAGAATCAATGTCAAAAAACAAACTCCAAGGAAGATATTCTTGGTCGATGTCTAATGTTCTCCAATGGTACAATTGATGCCAAGGTGGCATTACCTATAAAAAAAATATCATCACTAATAAATGATAATTACATATTGTTTATAGTGTAACATCTTGATGTTCCATGCGTACAACAACTAACAAGATTTTAGAATAAGTACCAAAATCCAATTATAATTTGAAACTTTATTCAAATGTCGTATAAATTCTGCCATACGCAGGAACACATCACGACGCAAATTAAATCCTTCCGATGGATTGACATCGTATAAAACATATCTAAAAAAAAAAAAACGCATGTTCAATAAGATTACATTTTTAAGTATTATCTAAGCTACATTTTAGAAATGGTAAAATGCCATAGAATATACCTAGTGAGATAATATTCATCATTTGTAATTAATTTAAATAAAAAATCTTTTAATACAAGTTTACGGTTCAAATCCAATATTCCTATTCTTACCTCGGCAATGTTTCAACAAAAGAATCAGTTCTGTCTGATGCATCGGAGTTCATCCGCACCAAGTCAACCATAGTCAATAACAATATTAATTTACTATAACCAAAACTATACATCTTTGTAGTTTTGTTTTTAAAAGATTCCTTAATATGTTATCTTTAATGTGTATTTGAGTGTTTTCGTTTAGTTTCTAAAATATGGTTGTGCTGCTCACAACCATATTTTTTACAAAATAAGTATGAGCAATTGTTTATTTTAAAAAAAGGTAATTACAATACTTTAATGTCTACTAATTAAATGCACGGTTTTCTATATTTTACAGAATGTAGATGAAAAGCTCGGTTGCCTTAAATTGAAGTCTTTTTGTTTGGTTTGCAAGGTTTAAGTTTAACGACATGCTTGTTTCTCGACGTTAACGTTGTCTAAAACATTTTTTAACATCGGTGATCGGCAAATTATCATTAAAAATCGTATTTGGCAAAATGTATTTATTTATTATTAATTATCATTACTGTTATCACTTATTATTGATCAACATCTTATCATTGCTTTCAAAGTACAAACTGGCAACTGCCAAGTCGTTGCTACGTTGCTCGCTACGAATAAAATACAAAATAAACAAAATAAAAATAAACACTATTTGCCTAAGAATCATGGTCAAAATAGCATTTTGAATTTGTAGTGATATCTTTTATAGTTAGTACTTAATTTGTTTGGACACAACAATGAAGTTTTCACAGTACTAATTTTACATTACTATATAAGTTCATCAACAATGTAACAATTATTTCATTTTCAAGCCTTCACAAACTATCTAATGTAATTGATTGTAAGGAAGGTAAAAATTATTATGCTTCGTATCAGCTTACACAGGCTGTGTTTTCACAACCATCAAAAAGTATTGTTGTATAGACAATACCGACCACTTCCTATTAAAAAACTACAGAATCAGTACACAGCAATTAAGGATAAATATAATTCTAAGTTGATTCAACATTTTAGGTAAATATATGGACATAATCTGTTGTTGTATAACCTGTTGAATCTGTTGTTGTTGTTGTATACATTTATATATTGACGCCTTTTACGAAAAGTTAAAAGTTTTATTTATTTACAAAAGTAGTATGTTACATCAATACTAATATGTTTGTCCCTTTAATGATGAAAACTAATACATATCTTACGGTTACTCCCACTTGAGTAGATTGACTGGTCTGCCAACTTTTCGGAATACTTGCACATTCCATCTTCAGGGTTGTGGTTCAATGCTGCTTGTATAAAGGTTTCCTGTAGACTCACATACATACAGGGTGATTCTTTTATCATGAGCTACTCAATACCTCACTAGGTTTAATTAGTAATTCATTTTTACATGATGTGATCTCAATTTTCCACAAATTTTTATGTTCCTACCTCCTTCTAAATAAGTTTTTTGATAGCAACTTTTGAAACTTAAACGGTAACATATATATTTTATTAACTTTTTAAATTAAGAATATTTTACTTACAATTTTGACTGGTTGATAACTAGTTTTGAACCACTATTTTTAAAGTTATAAGAGTCTAAAAGTTAGGATGGGAGGGGAAGTGCGCGCAGATAAAAATAATACTGCACTCCACCTTTCCTCCTGCCCTAAACTTGAAACTTGTTGACCAGTCAACATTTTTAGTATATTATTCTCAGTTTAAAAAGTTAATGAAAGTATGCGTTACCATTTTAGTTTCAAAAGTTGATATAAAAATAATTAGTTTAAGAGGGGTGGGAGCATTAACATTTTTGGAAAATTGAGATCACATTATATGAAAACTCTATGGAAAAAAAAATGTAATTATTAATTAAAGGTATTGAGTGCCGGGTGGGCCACTAAAAAAAATCACTCTGTATCAGACATATCATTCTTTGCTATGGTAATACGCTTAGCTCCACATGGGTCTAATGGAATTAGGTCACTTACTACTTTTCGAAACGGAAGTTAATATATTATGTATGATAAATAAATTAGATTAATTATTGTTATTTATTTGTTTTTAGTGTTTCTCATGTTCATCGAGTTCCAATACCACCTCATCTAATAGCTTTATTTCTACGTCCAGTTTCACGGTTTTTCGCTATGATTTTAGGCACACAAATACGTCGATGGTATCTAAAATTGAGTGAAAAAGAAAAAGAGAAATTTTGGTCAAACGTACAGAAGCGTCGTAAGCAGATATATTATAGTATAGCAGGAGCGTTAGGGCTGTTAACAATGTATTGTGGTTTCCATATGGAACTAGATCCGATCACGGGGAAAAGAAAACTAATTTTATTTAACCAACAACAAATGAATGCCATAGCCAATGTGATTGCTGAACAATTGATACAAGAAAATCCACATGCAGTTTTAAAACCATCTCATCCTCATTACCGAAGAGCATTGAAAATAGCAATGCAAATTATTAATGCAAACAAAAAACATGATCTCGTAAAAGATCGTAATTGGTTTTTAGTAGTAGTTAATGATCCAAGAATTAATGCAATGGTTTTACCAAATGGAATAATAGTCGTATTTACAGGCTTATTAAATATGGCTAATGACGAACAAGTAGGTATTGTATTGTCGCACGAAATCGCACATTGCTTACTCAACCATCACGCTATAAGATTAAGCCACGAATACTTGTTGGAAATACTTTTGTTCTTGCCATTATTGTTGGTCATGTGGGCTGTATTTCCAATACCTGAAGCCATTTTTGGTTATTTTTTAGGAAATTACTTTAAAGACTTAGTACTTTTATTACCATATGAACGTGATCAAGAGATAGAAGCGGACAAGTACGGTTTACTGTTAGCGGCGAATACATGTTTGGACGTTCGACAAGCTATAGTGTTTTGGAAAATGATGGAAAAAATAGATGTTAACAACAATATTCCTTGGTGGTTGTCAACTCATCCTTCACACAGTAAAAGAATCGAATATATTGAAAACCTAATGCCGTATGCTTTAAAAATACGACATCAAAAAGGATGTCCTGTCATTGATAAAAGTTATTGGTCAAGGTTACCATTTTTTAACTAAAAGTCCAGTAACTAAAGTTGTACAAATTTTGCTTAAAGTCGAACTATTTACTTCAACTAATCGGTAAACTGATGTAGGTAACTACAATATTAGAATTTTTATAGTTTAAATTTGTTGAGAGGCCTGAAAGTTAAATTATTTAACTAGCTAAGACTATGTAAGTCTTAGTGTGCCTGTCAAATTCTAGATAAAAATATCATAATCATCATATCTTATTGATTATTTTAAATGTTGAAAAAGTCTATTGTATAGTAAACTAACATATAAAACTATATCCAAAATTGTTTTTTACAGTTTATCACGTTCTTCAACTCTAGATTTGAAGTCTAATTTTAATCTTGTAAATGTTGTTTGTTAATTTTTTTTTTTTATATTACCCTTGGCAGCAATATTAAATATTTTTATTAACAAATTTTGTTTATTATAAATGACATATTTATTAATTTTTTTGTTTTTGTATAATTAACACAAAAATATTATGCTTTATTGATGAAAAAGCTTTATCGTAATATATATTTTTTTAAATTATTTATTATGTTATTATTAAATAGGTATATTTGTATTGGTCTTCAGTTATTTTAACATATTTATTTTATGTTTACCTATTTGCATCCTAAGGTAAGATCTAAGTAAAAAATGTAGTGATGATATCAAATCGGTGCTTATATTTTACCTATAAAAGTTTAGATGGTAAACAATAATTGTTTGATTTTATTGCCCTATTTACTTTTGCCCGCGTCAAAATATTAAGTATGTCATCAATTTGTGTGATCATTTTTTATCGTTGTTTGTTATCTCCCATAAAAAATACACAGCCCTCCGAAAACATCGGCAGCCATTTTGCGGTTATCCAATTGCTGACATACCTGCTTATATTGTTTATTTTATTTTGCATAGACATAATATACATAGACCGCGAATATTGCCGTATATTAGCATAATGTAAAATCACAGAATAGACTAAATTTAGTCTATTGTGTGGTAAACTACTGATGTTAAGTGTTAAAATAGGTATTATGTGCGAGTAAGATGTCTCTAAAAAGTTTTCTTCATGGAGCCTAAATAGTAATTTGCTGTTCCATGACAAAGTAAATTATTGATAACACTATGATAAAATAGTAAATTTAAAAACAAGTATCGACTTTTAATATAATATATTAAATTATAACTTAGAAATTTAATTTTACAGATTTCCCAAAGAATGTCTATAGTTTATTGTTTTTCATGATTTTGCCCGTTTTGTTTATATATAGAACGCCAATACAGAAATTTAATTTTTTGCCCGGCATTCGGCAATATTTATTCTTATCAACCGTTATCACGTTGATTGTATTTCAGATTATTATAGTTTGTTTAGTGTTTACGTTTTGTTTTAAAAAATTTTAAAAAAGGAATATTTATTATTTATTATTATAAATAAACCGAACGCCATTTAGATGACAAAATAAAGTTTTTAAATTCAATTTTATTTTATAACTGGGTAATATTATTGTTTGATTTTTATTGAGGAGTGTTTTAAATCGTTAAGTATGGCACAATATATGAATGCAGCGGTCGATGAAGACGCTGCTTTGCTACAGTTTCCAAAAGAATTTGAAAATGCCGAAACATTGCTTATATCTGAGGTAAATTTACTCACTATAATATAACATATATTTGTCAAAATATTATAATATATTACATCTAATTTTAGGTAAACATGCTTCTGAAATTTCGAAAGAACCAGAACGAGAGTGCTGAAGAAGAACAAGAATTCTCTGAAGTATTTAATAAAACACTAACGTATACAGAGCAGTGTTCGAAATTTAAGAATAAAGAAACTATTGTTGCTGTACGTAATTTGTTAGCTGGCAAAAAGTTACACAAGTTTGAATTGGCGTCTATTGGCAATCTCTGTCCACAACTAGCTGACGAGGCAAAATCGCTTATACCCAGTTTAGATGGCAGATTTGACGACGATGAATTACAACAAATTCTCGACGATATACAAGCTAAATTAAGTATCCAGTATTAAAAATTTCGAATGGTTTGTTTATAAAATTCCAGAAATGGTAAAAAATTATTTGATAGATATCAGTTCTAATAGGAAATATTAAATAATACTTTGTCTCTTTTATTATAATATTTAAATAGCCTAAGTTTACCGTTAGCTGTTGAAAAAAAAACTTTTTGTAAATTAAAATATATGGCGTTTTTTTTATTTTGAATTACTTTTGTACACTATATTGTATTCGTAATGATTGTAATAGCAACTTGATATTCATATACTTGTATAGCTATTCCTTTTGTATAATGATTAGACTCAACGGAAATTTGATTTACATATCAACAATTCAATGATACAAATTTTATTTCATAATTTTTTCAACAACAAAGTTAGTTTTTAAACAACATACCTAAGTTCCTGTTTTACAATGTTCAATTATTGTCAAAACAATTATTTATATTTTTCTCATATTCAGCCATAATATAAAAAAAAAGCATTCCTGATAACTCAATATTCAATCCAATTAGCGGTTTTTATTCACAGAATAGTAAATGAACAACATAAGTCCGCTACTGATAATTATAAATAAAGATTTTTACTGTAATAATTTTAGTCTATTTTTTTAGGAGGGCATTTTTGAAGTTATTATGTATGTTTTTAGTATTTTAACACTTAATTTGTTGACTTTTAACAGTCAATACTGAATCATATAACAAAAATATTTAATCACCTTTTTGGAAAAAAATTATATTTATGCATTAAAGTAAACCAATTGGTTTATATACTAAACATACGTCATTTAAAGTATTTGTTTCATAAGAATCAAAGGACAAGTCTTTTAAGATTTAAGTTTTCAACAAATATTGGATTAACGCTTTTAAGAATTAATTCTGAACCTTAATTTTTAGAAGATAAATACCATCCACTTATTTAAAAAATTGTAATAAGCATATTGTCAACAAAATTTAAAATTGTATATAAAATGCTTGTTTAGATTTATCATTACGATAATTATTAGGACTTTTCATTAAAGACAGGTGAGGTTTACAATTGCATTAAAAATGTCTCACATATAATTTATAACGTTGTTTTGATGAGATAGCATTTCACAATACATAAAAAAAATGTACACATATAATTTATTCTAGTTGTACACAATGTATTGCATTTCTCACAGGCAGGGTTCTTATTTTGTCAGGTTTTAAAAGGCCAACAAACTAGTTTCTTTGCAAAACAATACATTCTTAGCTTCGCATCGAAGCTAAGATATAATAAAACAAATAATTTAATACGAAAAAGTAACATGTTCTTCGTCCAAGACATCGCCGTTTAGGTCATCTGAAAAAAATAAATGTTTATGACTTATTGTTTGCATGCGACTAGGATTTAGGAAGGATATCACTCACGTAAGTTGGATTTTTTATTTCATTACCTAACAAAAATAGTTGTACACTTGCCAGTTTGTTATATTTAATCTCATATTAAGGCGCTGCGACGCAAAAGCATTCACGTCCATCTACTCGTCTACAACTACGATACGGCGATATCACTCCCTATATGGGCACTTAGCTGATATCACTCCTTACTTGGATATTAGAAACTATTATACTATTACGTCTCTGCGTTCTACATATGACTTCATCCAGAAACAGTACTATCTATGGTCTAGTTATGTGTCCAACTATCATCGTCCGGCATCAACCAACTACTATAAGTACCCACAGCGAACAGGGCCAATTCGTCAAACGTCGTCCAGTCTTCTACAGTACAACGTCCTGCTACATATTGTCATACACTTTATTGTTTATATTGTACGGTGTTGTTAATCTTTTCATAGTTAACCTTCAAATTATGAGTTATTTTCTAACTTTTGTTGTTAACTTCTGTTCTGCCTACCCTCTTCCATCCTCAGAAGACGGCCTTCAGGCATAACGGCGCATAGAAATCAAATTCAACAAATCTTATCTACCTAAACCGAAATCTAGCTATAAAAATAGTTCCTATGTCAAACATAATAGTTTTTTTTTTTTATCAAAATGTCATTATTCTACGAGGCGTTATGCTTTTTAAAAGTAATATATTAAAATATGTCGGTACCTACTATGTTGACTATTATCATTGATTATAAAATAAAATATTTATTATGTATAATCAGTGATACTAGTCTCCAGTTACCGGGTGCGATACATCATGTAGTTCTTTTTTTATAAAGTTATCGTAAAAATAATTTGTATTGACAACAATGACGTTTAAATATTATTAACTTAATATTGCTTATTCATGCGTTTGCAAATTACGCAATTCATTATTGTCGTCTTAATGTCGTATTCGATTCTACAAATATTATGCATTGCAATTTTAATAACGTGTTTTGAATTTTGATGAATTAACCACTAAACAGTATATTAGTCGAACACAATATTATATCTTAAGAGGGCGTCGCACTGGTGATTTTCAGTGGTAAAAACATGTTTAAGCAGATTGAAAATAACTCGCTTAATTTTGGTTTTAGAGTAAAAGCACCCATCATAAAATTAAAAGACAACAATATTAGGGCAAGACGGTTAGGTTAGGTTAGGTTAGGTTTCGAAAAATATTTTTTTGAAAAGTTACAATCATTTAAAAATGTTAAAATAGTCGTTATTTCTAAACTATGTATTGAGCGTTATACTTAGAATAATGAAAAAAACGCACCGTCTTGCCCTCCGGAATATTGTTGTCTTTTAATTTTATAATGGGTGCTTTTACTCTAAAACCAAAATTAAGCGAGTTATTTTCAGTCTGCTTAAACACGTAGAGATGAAAAACCATTTTTAAATCGCTTTCAAGGATGCTGTGGTAGTCCAAAAAATAAATTAACTACCAAAATAGAGTCATAGTCGTTGAACTAATAATTACACATTACAGTTTAACCTTTAAATTAAGATTTTGTAAAAAATTGCCTATACTTTACTCCTTAAAAATGGGCGGTGCGACGCCCTCTTAACCGTATACTGAATAATTTAATTTAGAATGATTTAAAAAACAGAAGTAATTATATATAAAATGTATTAACATAATTAATCTAATTACGTTTTTAATCTATGTAAATACCACGTGTGACGCAAAAGCCTTCACGTCCATTCTACTCGCTACAACCATACGGCGATAACACTCCCTATATGGACATTAATTTGAAATAACTCTTTATTTGGACTTAGGGACTATTATACTATTACGTCTCTGCGTTCTACATATGACTTCATCCAGGAACGTCCTGTTAATACGTGACCTTTTGTCAATACTTTACTGTTAATATTACATTGTGTTGTCAATCGTTTCATAGCTAACATTCAAATTATAAGTAACTTTTGTTGTTAACTTCTGTTCTGCCTACCCTCTTCCATCCTCACACTGCATCCAGACATAACACATGTTATATTATAACTTACATAATTATACTAAAGATAAATTATTAAAACTATAGTGTCGAACAGGTAAAACGTGCACTACCAGTACTGCCTACAGTACCTACATAAATATTATTAGTGGTACTCTCAGTGTTGAAATTATTAATTAATTTAAACATAATTAATGTACTTAAGCTGTGTGAATTGAAACATTGTATATTTTTAATTAATGCACGACTATAGTTTTTTAATCTCGGAATTGAATGTGATAGATTCTGCATAAATTACTATAAAACGATGTCGTGTATGTGAAAACTCGATGGACTTTTTTTAAAAATGAATCGTCTTGTAGATAAGACCTGTATTTTTTTCGAAACAATGGTTTTCCGCCTCAAGTTAACTTATTATATGCGAATTGTATAATAAAATTCATAATTGCATTGTCGGATAGTCGAGAACACCGATAACCAGGCACAATGGTTTTGAGATAATGATAGACAGGTGGTTCTTATATACCTATTCAAATACAAAGATGGCCACTACTTTTTTTTTTGAAAACCGAAGACATGTGTGTGAAGACATTATAAGGAGAAATATAATATCTTTACAACGTCATACGCAGACACGTAGCCAGAACATTTCTATTGGTGGGACAACAATTTTGGACCCTTGCATTATTTTACATAATACGTTTCCAATGAAAAACTTGTGGGGGCTTCTCTCTTACACACCCCCCTTAGGCGGTATCCCATACCAAGAATTTTACTTATTTAAAATGTACCTTTGGTTGGTCAAAAAAAAAAATTGTTTTCGTATGAAGTATACCTATTGGCTAGGTTTATTTATTATTAAGTGTAATAAACTCAGGATTTTTATTATATTATATTCTTTATATTATATTATGATACTGGATTCTATATTGCATGTTGTCATGATGTCATACTTTGTTTTTCTGATGCCACATTTATATATTTTCCTTGTTGTATGTATTTCCTTATTTGGTCAACTATTTCCAATCTACGCAGTTACTATTCGTACTTGCTTCATTCCTTTTGGCATTAATCGTCGTCGGGTACTTGCCACGTGCTTAAAATTTAAAAAAATGAAATGGTGCTATACGTTTTCTGGCGGGGGCGATTCTTTCACCGTGAGACCCGAGACGGTTTCTCAGTTCTCACGATACACCGCCAGTTCACGCGACATATTATTACATTTTTTTTTTTTTGTTATTATATATAATTTACACAATCTGTGTAAGTAACCATTTTTTTGTACGCTAAGACATAAGTGATACGTGGACCATCCACTTTATGATATTACATATTATGTCGGACGCTTGTTGACCGCACGTGTACACGAAAAAGAAAATACAACGGTACTTATAACGGGGGGAGGGGGGGGGAATTCTGAAAAAATAAAATTCTGTTTTACAACAACAACGTTACGAGCAACGGGAGTGGGACAACTTAATCGGACTGGCGAAGGGCAAACATTTAATAATAGATACACACCACCAACAACCAAAATTGAAAATACATTTAAACGTAAACAACAAGATCATTATTAAAATAATTTAACCGTGGTGAAGGTTGAAGTGGGTTAAAATTTGTATGTACAAGATAACTGGTACTGGTAAGGTACCACATACAATAAGAGAAGATGAGTAAAAGAAGTAACAGATTTATTAAGCAATAAAACACTTTTGAACTATATTATATATATATTAAACACACAGATTATAAACACGTTGAGAATAATATAATAATAATAATAATGTAACTAACTGAAGACTTGACAAGTAACTGACGATTGTACCTAGATTCCGGGTGGGTTATATACTGATCTACAATTGATTAATCGACGTAAATGGATAATCTATTTAGGGAAAAACAATGGTATTGTGTAAGAAAGTGTTACAATAACATGCGTCAGTGCAAAGTAAGGTTTACAAAGTTATTATAGAAATAAACATTATATCTGCAAGATATTATGCTGACGATGTGCTAGTATAGTATAATTTATCTTAATTTCAACATAGTATAATATGTATAATGTAAGATAACAAAACAGTATAACAGTACAATAAACTGAAGCTTATTACACTTAGGAAACTGCTCATACCAATTCTTTTGATATAAACTAATAAGCCCATTTTATTATTAACTAATTAAAATATAAGATATAAAATATAATCAAGTATTTGTAATGAAAATGTATAAAATATACTATATTTTTATTATTAGTCAATATGCAAAGGGGCAACTAACTTTTTTTTTTGGTAAATGCCAAAGATTTTTTTGAAATTTTTAAAACGCCGACTGGTTTTTTAAACCAACATTTCTTTGTTAGTATTCGTGGAGTTACTAAAACCGGCTATACACAACCCAGTTAACCTGTCAGATGTGCCTGACCCCTGTGCAGGTTTTAACAAGTCGTGTATCTGAAGGTCGTTGGAGAATTATACTGCTCTTGTTAACCTTGAAAGGCACAGTCTACACGTAGCCTGTACCAAACACGTGTCTGCTGGGTGACGGAGAGGAGGGGCGAGTTCACAACCGAATCGCGTGTAGCCGGTTTTCTTTTGTTTGTATTCACTGTCAAAAATAATCGAGCAAAGAAATCGTTCTGCAGACTGCAGTCTGCACAGACTACGAAGACTTGAATAGGTATAATGAATACTGTATGTAATATAATATTTTTTTGTTTTGATTTAATTTAATCTGCGTTTTCTGTAAAAACTACGATCACCACTGATTTGATTAATCAACGCCTTGGAAACTTTTTATAAAATATCACATTAGTAACTATCAGTTATATTTTATACTGAGTCGCCGAAGAAATAATATCAACGCAAATAGTAAAAGTTGTGTATTATAAAAAAATCGCAACGAGAGACGTCCGGTGCTAACCTTGTGTGATCTCGCCTTAATGTCCTTGACGTTTTTATACCTGGATACTCGTTTTGGGATGTACTGATAGTTGCGCGCGCACGACAACTGGTAACCACTGGTGGCGGTCTGCGGCGGTTGTCGAATGTCGGCGGTCGCGACTGCCTTGCAATGCTACGGCAGGTATGAACGTGTTTAGTGTGGAAGTGACTGTCTGCTGTCTAATGTCGTTGCACGGTTGCGGATTGGATAGTTTTTCTCCGTTTTCGAGACGTCGTGTTTGTCGCGGTCGGTTGTTTTGTCTGCGTTGACGGTGTGTACCGATCAGTTTTATTCATTTGTATGTTGCTGTATAATAAACAATTGGAATTTGGATAGTTATTTTCGGCACGTCGTTAGTCGTTGTCGGTTGCTTTGACTTGCTTGACGTCGTACTGATCAGTTTTATTTATTCGTTATATGTTGCTGTATAATAATTAATAAACTTGAATAGGTAACGTGTCATTGTAAGAGATGAGTCCTAAACAACCGGTAAAGGGTTGCAAACGGCAGCGATGTGAGCAATCGGTCGTTCCGGTAAGTTAAACGAAATATTTTATTCGCTAAGGATTCTGATTATAATAATTGTATTATTATTCTAAAATAACATTATTTTGGATAACTGCCCACAACGACGATAAGAAGGACATCAACAACTATAAATTGCGTGTCGTACTTTTCTGATTTTCTCTATAGGAAATGCCAATATTAGATTATATTGTAATAAATTATTATTGTTTTTATTTGTAATAATATCACTAACAATATTTCATAGTTTCGACATTTAAATGCACAAATGATTATTTATTATTGTTATTTCTTAGTATTCGCAGTTATAACAGTTCTTTGAATTGTCTTCGTTATGCGGATGTGATAGGGACCATGTTTACGATTACGATTTATTACTAAAAATTATAATGTAGACGAGACGCTATGATAAATATTGAATTTCTTTATCTAAAAAAAAAACCGTAGCATTATGCATTTTGCAGCGACGGGTAAAGGATTACATTTTTTTTTAATAGGCGCTCGACCGTAACGAACTTTCATTTTTTTGCGGTTACCTCTCTTAAAAACATAGCCAATGATATTGAAATAACGTAGGTGAAATTGTATTCAACATAAAATCAGTAATAATGCCATGACCTCATTTTTGGATTTCTCAATAATAAAACAATTATCTTATTATACATAAGCTGCTCATAAAATTAACATACAGAATTAAATTAAATTTCGCCCAGTGTTGTAAACATTACATTTAAAATGTATGTAAAATGATAATTGAAACTTCTCACTTTTTTTGAGAATGTACCTATTTTAGTATTCTTTTAAATATTTTTTTTTACTTAAGATTAATTAACTGTTTAGATCAAGAATATATTTATTGTCAATTTAAACTGCTCTATAACCAGTTTTGGATAATTACTTCTAAAGTTATTAGTTTAAAATTTAGGACAGGAGGAAGGGTGGTGAGTAGTATTTTTTTTTGTATCTGTCCGCATTACTACCGCCCTCCACCTCCCGTCCTTAATTTTAAAATTTAGTAACTAAAGTAATTATCCAGAACTGGTTATCATCCTGTCAAAATTGTCAACAAATTATTCGTTATTTAAAATGTCAATTAAATACTTATGTTACCATTTAAGTTTTAAAAAGTGACAGAGCCTCGGATAAAATAAAAAAAAAGATAACAATTTGAATATTGTCTAATATTGTAAAATAATATAAACTAAAGTGTCTCCAAAAACTACAAAATTGCAATTACTTTAAAAGAAAACGAGTGTCTTATTTGGTCAACCGTACCTATATTTATATTATAAATATACACTTGTATTGAATATACCTACATATTTTCATTTTTCATTAATTATCCATAAATGATAGACTATACCTAATAATTATTGAGTACCTAATATTTGGCGGCTGGAGCGACTTGTATCGAATACGGAATAATTGGGATAACCCAAAACCGGCAGCCGACTACAGTCTATAGGTAAATGACAGTAATAGCCGATCGGTACCATAAAACTAAAAATATTTTATAATATTTATGGCATCACGACCAGATGAGGACTATTGACCGAGTCGCTAAGGCGATTGCGTGTGTACGCCTCGTTGTCACCTGTTCAGGTCGAACGAGTGTTTTTGTTAGGTTGAGCGATCCGTTTGCCGGGCAAGGGAATGCGTTCTGTGGAAGAATCGTCATCACTCTGGCGACAGACCTGTCCCAGATAGGTAATAATCATAACGGGGGTATACTTAATGTGTCTCGATGCCAGGTAGGACCTAAGTGTATGTACGAATTGAGCCTCAATGAACGAACCCCCCTCAATCGTTTTCTTAATCATACCGTACCTTAAAAGTATACTCTAGAGCTCGGTCTCTTGTGAGTGCTATACGATACTAATTATAAAATTAGTTTCCATTACCGTAAAAATAACTTTTATAATGCACTTAAACACGGTTTTTTAAAAATATAACAATAGTAAAAACAGTTTTCAAGTACATTATTGTACCTTCACGCCAGCTTACGTTTTAAAAATATGAACATTTTCACATTTTTTCGTGAAAAGTTTGAAATAAACATTTTAAAAGTATCTTGGAGTAATCCTTTTCCTTTAACGACATCGCACGCTACAAGAGAGAAGTACACAATAAAGACCTAAAAGTCTTTTTCAAAAGTTCCTAAACTTTATTTCAGTTCGACAACTAAAAAATTACAGTCAATAAAATGTTTGTATACATTGGAAACTTAATTTTTAGCAGGACGAATCTAGTTCATCAAATTAAAAATTTTTTGTACGCATTTGTAGAATACGAACATGAGACTACAACCTTGGCCGGGTTATACATTTTATTATGACAGCTACTAGTGTAATGAACTGTAGAGTCCAATACAAATACTATTTTGGACAGCGTTAGTAATATAGTAATTAACTCGGTTAGACTTAGTAAAATAAATAATAACTGCCAAAAAAGGTTTGATTCAAATGTAATTTTAATTTATTTATAACTCAGGCAATAACTTGCTCGGGTGAAACAAAACAAAACAATTGAATGCATACTCGCTGTTCCTTGGGGTTTTATAGTACAAGAAAGCAACCTAAGCAAATGCTAATACTTGTGGAAAACAAGTATTAACAACGTCATTTAAACAGAATTGAGTACAATAATATAATACTTAAATGCCAACTAAGTATTACACATTAATTAAAAGTTACACAAAACAACAGTAAGCAATAATCTGTATTTCACGTGCCATGGTCAATACTATATCTCAAGGAGATCTGACCATTACACTAGACGTGTACGATAAATAGACAATCACTACGATTATTACTAATTAGTAATTATCAAAGCTGGAATTTTTTTCTAATAAAAATGTTAGTTTTTATAGCATACTATAAAAATGTAAGCTAAATTCATATATTTAGATTATGACATCAATACCTTTGTATTTAGGCAGTCTAAAATATGATGTTCTAAAATATTTTTTGCTTTTATTTAAAGATAAATTATTACTTTTTTTCTATTAACATATCGTTTCTACCATGTGATTATAGTTTTAATCAAGTATTTATCAGTTTAAGTATAATTGTTATGTAAAAACATGCTTACCTAAACACTGATGAGCACATACATATTAATATATTACCACATCAGGAAAGTTAAGAACAATCAATTATTAAACAGTATCCGTGTCTAGACAGCTGTATAATCAATGGTAACTAATAATGAAAGACGTTTTCTAAACAATTACATAAATCATTTACGATAAGATTTAAGAACGATTTGTTTACCGACTAGAGTAATTTTTTATAAAAATATTATTTAATATTATTTTTTAAAACCCATTCATAAAAATCCATGACAAAAACTCAGGATTTTGGTTTGTTTTTTATTTAAAATATTCACAATCATTATAAATAAAGACTGATAAAATATAAAACAAAAAACTTGCCTTTATCGTATGCCTAAATAAATTAGAACGTGCTTCGTCCCCTAAAAAGGGTAATGTTAACAAATAATGAAATAACATAAAAATGTATTATAATAATTATTTATACAATTATAAATAAACCCTAACACAATAAGCAAATAACAAAGTTAGCGATGATGGCAACATGATCGTCGTATACGCTCATAAGGATATTTGTATTGTGGTCAGGGTTTATTCATAACTGTATAATAAAAACCACAAGTGACTACTTTAAATTGACAATACATATTTAAATAATGTCTTAACTGTCTATCGACGCTCTTTTACCAGTTGCGCACTTAGGTCTAACATTTTGCAGTCTCGCTTTTAAATCAATAATGCACTATCCCGGAACTTGCACTTGACGGTTAAACATTTTGCAGGCTCAATTTTAAATCAATAATGCACTATCCCGGGACCTATACTTGACGGTTAAACTTTCTTTTTGAACCTACATGCATTTTTGTGCCAGCTGCTCAACAATCACGCTTACTTTACTCCCCAAATAAAAAACATACGAGGTTCTTATAGATAAAGAAACTGCGCTCTGGCTGTAAATGTAAGTTTTTTGCACTTACCACTTTACAGGTACTAAAACTGTTAAATTGCGCTAATTTACAACATCAATATAACTTAAGTTTATTTTTTTTTAATAGTACAATTATATTTAGAATTATGATTTAACAAGCAAAGAATACACGCTGTGAAGTATTTTACTTCTACCGCCTTTTACAAAATGATTATACTAATTTTTTTGTACGTTTCAGGAAATCGCAAATAAGAAACAATATGCTAGAATGGATGATGAAAAAATTAAAATGAAATTGAAATTTTTACCTTACAGTAAGTATATTTTTAAGTATACAAATAGTCTGACTAAAATGTTTTTTAATGTAATTTTAAAAATGTATTTATATTTTAGATTATCAAAGAATGTGTACAAAAAATCAACTGGGTACAAATGTAAAGAATCACCTAAAAGCGTGCACTGAAGATGCTCGTAATACACTCCTAAAACAAGTAAGTTTGTGCTTAAGATTTGCTTAGAAAATATTATATAAAATTTAAATAATTAAGTTCACCAAAAAATTAACATAATATTACATAAACATTCGCTAAATGTTTACTGAACCAATAACATTTTGATGAATAACTAAAATATTTATTGGATCGTTAAAAACCCATTCAATTAATTGGTCCCTTATATTAATGGTTAATGTACTCGTACATTATAGTTAATTACAATTCATTGAGAGAAACAGCTTTTATTTAATTAAACCATAAAGTGAGCTGCCCACTATGCGGGTTGCCAAATGACACAGCATACTATTCAATATACATATACATAAGACAATTTAAATTTCACACTACAAATAAACACTATCAAGTTCATTGTACAAATACATAAATGCCAAATTTAACAATCAATAAAAAATAAATAAATCAATAATAAATATTAGTGCTCTAATTTCGGGCCGATACATTTTTAAATAACGTTTTGTCACATTGTTAATAAAGTTGTCTGATGTCTGTATTTCTTATTTGTATTATTGATTAAGTACTTGATTTTATAAATAATGTCGTATAGTTAAAATTCGTCATCGGATTTTGAGGACGAATTTGTTTTGAATGTGTTGGAAATTTTACCAAGCTTTCGATGACATTGATTTCAAAAATCGTTTATGTAGGATTTTTAATTTATACTTCACATTTATAGGTAATTAATGTATATTAATTCATAGGCGTGCGCAAAATTAATATTAATGGGCAGTTTTATAGATGAAAAAATAAAAATATGAATTACGATAACAACACTAAAACAGCCGCTTAAGAGTACAGAATGATGACAATAAAGTATTATTATTAATGATATTTTATCTTCATTAATAATTTTTATGAATTTTCAGTTGTTATCCATTTCAAATTAACCTTGCTATTATTTATAAAATCTTTACATTTCAATAAACCGTTTATGCAGCTCAAATGGCTCAATAAAGTTGTTTTTGGATTAATAAAAACCAATTAGATATAACTAAAGGTTTTTTGCAACCCGGCATTCCTAAGCTCAAATCTACATTACATGTAATTGCCGCTCGCTAACGCATTGATGTAATTTAAGTTTATTTTCTACGGCACATACTAACAATAAATTAATCTAGACCAAGTGACAGCTTCCTATAATAAATGCTTAAGATATGAATATTATTTAAATATAATTCTAGTTATTGGTTATTAAATTTAACTGAACTATTAAGTATAATATTTTTAATGGTAATTTGGACACATCTTGTCGTGCTTTTTTGGTTTGTTACCTAATGGGCTAAAAATAGTTTGACAACAAAGCAAAAGTGCAGAGCCAATTACGGAAAAAGCAATAACAATATTGTTTTGTTTTGTCACTTCAACTGTCGTTTTTCTCTCTCTTGCTATATACTCTGGTATTAACTTATATTAAAATTCTATTCGTGTAGAGGTAATAAGGTCTTAGGGGTGTTACGGTATTTTTAAGAGTAGTAGACTTGGCGCTAACTAATAAAATATATTATTATTATTATGTACATAATATACTCATATTAAATGTGATAAACATTAACTAAATCATATTATGTTGCATACAAAATGTTATATTATACACTTAATTAATTGTATTTGAGCTTGGTCCTGTTGATATTAAAATAACTAAAGTTTAATAATTTGTTACGTGCCGAGGGTGGAGATGTGGAAAATGTTGTCTTGTTAAATAATAACATACCAAAGTGGCCAATTTAGCTAAAAATGATTATTATTAACACAAAAGACAACACAAAATTACTAAAAAAAAATAAAAGTTCAGATAGATTTGCGAGTTAACTTCATAAAACAAAGTGGCGTGGTTTAAAGTTGTTATACATTTACACATTATTTTACGCTTATTTCACATTGTTATTGTATTGTGTAAATTCGTTTTAGGTATATTAGAAGAAAAAAATGTGTATACTAATACAAATTTAGCCTAATAAGGCCACAAGACTTCATAATTCATTAAAAATTAACGAGATTTTCAAAAACATAATATTTCATAGGCGTTTTACAAACTTGTACCTTTTGATGTACAAACAATTTCGTCTTACTCTACAAAATGATTTGTTACCAAAACATAATTTCCGTAAAAAATGGTGACTTGTTCCTTCTTAAATTGTTACGGACGATTCCTTCACTACACACACACACCTATACATATACCACATACATTATGATGATGTTACACAGACAAATAGTATAAAATTGCGCACTTATTATAATTGGCATAGTTATACAAAGACGGAAGCGTGATTCATAGTCAACACAATACGCACAAGTATAATTATCTAATCTCACACTATAATTAGGTAAATTGCAAAATAGACATTTCGTTTATAAAAACCACTGTGCTTTTTGATCCGCATCATGTTATTGCCTTTATTATAAAACTCCACGCAATTAAAATAACTATACGATGTGCGCGTCCGCTCATCATTATCATTATCAGTATCAACACATTACAAAATTATCATATCCATATAAATAGGAGTAGTACGCAGAGCTAGACCAGACGAACTACAACACTCAACAAGTATACACTCTTATGACAAGCGGTCATTTTTATGTTTAATAAGTTTTACAAGTGTTAATAAAATATTATATCTGAGATTATTCAGAAGTCTTTACTTTATTTCTAAAAAAAACATCTCCCTGCATTGATTTCAACGTCCGAACAACAAATAAATATTCTTAATAGTCTGGTACCAGTGATCAGGCTATTACAAAATAAGCGATTCAAATATATTGTGTTTCACTCACTGTACTCTGTGCCCATTCGAACGTTAATTATCTAAATAAAATATGAATAAGTTAAATAAATAAATTATAAACGTTTTAAGAACGCATTTTAATTAAAAATGTTAATTGAAGGCTTGCTAGTTTTATTAGTTAGGCTTTTTTTCTTTTGTGAGTATTCATACTAGTAAAATGAATTGCACGAAATTGATCATTATAATATGATCAATAATATAATGTAATAGATATAACTTGTACAATTTTCTTATACAATAAATCTTTGGTTGAATATCGGTATGCTACACTAAATATGTTTCAGGTAATCGGTTAACTTGAACCTGTATTGTGAGCTTCAATACAGTAACAGTGATACAACTAACTTTCTCAAAATTTAATTTTACAATTATATCGTTTGATAGTAAAGGCTTGATTTAAAGGCTCGTACTCAATCGTGGTTGATGGATACATGTTAGGTGTTAGTTTTTTAATTAAACTCAGAATAATGATAATACATGTTTAATAAACACAAGTTAAATTTTAGACAATAGTATCTTGAGACAATTTTAAGCAGGCTAAACTTCAGAAAAGTGTTTTATTACTACATGTGTATAGCTAGTATGGTAAAAAATCATAGCATGGCGGGGAGTTGCCCTTCAATAGCAGCCCGCCTGGTGAGAGTTGGCGAGATTTGCACAATGTGTTGCAATTTGCCCGCTCGTGCATAACCTCAGTTGGCTGAACATCCTGGTCTGATAGTAGCAAAAAGAGTAGCGGGGTCCGGTGGACTTGTCCTCGAGCGACCAAATTGGCAATCATTTGCGAAAACCGCACGTGTAGCTCATTAAACATACGTTTCGCCGAACGCGGTCTTTGGATTTTTGGGTGTGTCGGTTGTCTTTGATTAACCTGCCAATAGAATTACCAGAGGCTACGGATTTTGCGAAACCGGTATTTGTTGGCGTGTTCCCCGCGAGTTTTGTGTGCGTCACGTCGTACATACAATATCTTAGTTGTTAGTATTGTTGGATCATATGTAGATGTTGGCTTACAACATAAAACACGAGTACTGTAGAGCTTACCATCGTTATGTTTATGTGGTTTCTCGTTGTAGACATTTTATTTGGTTTAACTTCTATGTTAGATCCATTTTTTTATATGTAAACAACCGAGGAGGGCTTTTTATGTAATTGTAGTTCCGACCGATATTTCATCCCAGTCCTCCCCGCCCGTGTTACGGCGTTGTTGAATCATAAAATGTATCGCCGCATTAATCGTTTTTTGGAAGACATCTTCTCAGCTTTTTATCAATATGTATTATTTAAGGTCTATCAAAAATGTAAACAATTATTTTTACTTGGCAAATAATTAATATCACGTGATTAATATTTTGTTGCAGATCTACAACGATTGCATTCGTTTATCGAATGGATCGATAGATGATACCGATAAAATGTACAACCAATTGATGTGCAGCGAGCCGATGGTTTCATTAAATCGTGAACAAATTGAGAAGTCAGTGAATTTCATAATTTTGTTTTATATCAAACATGGCTATTAAACATAGTCAGATTTATTTAAAGTATTTAACTTTTTTCTTTGCGTTTCTTCAGGTCTGTGACAGTTACAGTTAAGAAAAGGAAATTAGAAAAAAAAGAGATTAGAAAAATGAAAAATAAAAAACATTTATTTTCATTATTGGAAAGCTTATTTGGTCCTGAACATTTATATGCCGACGAAGGACTATTAAATGTTTATGATAATTGTCTATTATCTATGAAGCTTACGAGCGAAGACAAGAATAAACGTTCGTCTTTAAGTAACCGTTCTTCTACTCCACTGGAATCATTGGATCCATATAATAATACATTAGATCTTCTTTCTGATCTACAAAATGACCCAACAGATGACGAAGGTGAACCTCGTACTTTGCAAATAAACAAAGAAGAAAAGGTACATCGTGAACGTAAACCATCCAAGAAAAAGCGAATTTCAACAGGTACAACGTTTAAGTCAAGCTCGGAACAAGCCAAAAGTACATTGGTAAACGTTAAAAAATCAAAGTCGCCAGAAGTAATAGTTACCAAAAAAAAAAGTAATTACAATAGCAAAATTAACGAGAGTACAAACGAAAAAAAGCCACAAATGTTTTCCCGAGTAATAACTAGTGTGGTAAATCTAAAAAAGTGCCACAAACAAACTTTCATTCAGTTCAATTTAAAACGAGAAGTGAAAGAAGAGAAAAGGGGAGACTCTTCTAAAATACCTTCTATTTGCCTGACACGAACCGAAGGCAATACCTATAGTATTAAGCCGCACACTGCGCTTCCGGAAACTGAAAGCAATATTGGGAAAAACGTAGCTTCCCCGGATTCCGGAATAAGCGTTTCAGAAGACGGCCCAATGCAATATAATACTATATATCCTCAGGATATGGAAAAACTGAACGAGATGGAAGTGGTCGTAAACAGCAATTTTGTACTCAAGACCGAATCGTTAATTAACGTTTTGGCTGGCCTATTACAAGAAGAAGTCGTATTATACAATTATGGATTTGTACCTCACCCGTGTAGTGGTGCCACTAAAAACCCATCAACGACTTGGGAAACTTCGAAATCGAAATCAGTTTGTAAATTAATCGCAAAACTTATTGATGAATTTAATCGCAAAAAATACAACATGATATATTTGTCCAGTTGCCTTGTACGGATTTTCCACAAAATAATACAAGACCAGGATATTAAATTTCATATTATCAGAGACAGATTCAAAATGTTCTGTAGAGTTATTACCAAATTCGTAAAGTCCATAAACAAACCGTTTGCCAAGAGATGGCTCAAAGATAAACACTATATCATTTTTTTGGAAATATGTGATTATATAATTTTGGATGAAAAAAGTATGATTTCGCAGTTGCGTTTTCAAGAAGAAAATTGTAAAATAACTCACTACATAAATTTGGCATTTAAATATTTTGAAAATGCCAGCGTCGGTTGTTACGACGTTGATGTTTCATCGATTAATGTTGTGCAAGATTGTTTATCTCCGAGTGACGAAGATTCCTCGTGTATGGATGATAAAAAACCGGCATTGCCTGTAATATCAGTGCGACCTGAGTTTGGAATTAGTAATTTTGCCGTGGAAAATTATAACGTACTGAGTTCCGTGCTACATCTTTTACCTCAAGTCAATTCTGCCCAACCGGTTGACAATAAGCAACCAGCTACTACGACCTATGTGAGTACCTATACATTTTTTCGGTTAACAAAATAGAATTATAACACAGCTAATATTTGCTTTAAAACTTGTTTCAATAACAAGTTCAGTTTCATTAGTCGACTGTAGAGTATTGCATTAATACAATACATTTTTAATTTGATTAACTCGCGGATGAAAACCAATTTATTTGCTTAACCATTACCAATTCATCCACGATTGATTTTTCAATCGTAACATAATCTTTACTGTAAACCCATATTTAGTCGTGACTATAATTTGATGGTGTTTTGATTTTAGTCCCGTTGTATGGAATTCACAACGTGCAAAAAAATTTCTGAATGGACTTGCATGTGCGAAAAAGCCACGTATTGCAGCCAGAAATGCCAAGTAAGATCAGCTGCTGTTTATTTAAACTTGGTTGTTTTAGTCGAGTTTTCACAGTAGTAGACTAGATCTCCCACAACATACACCAGCAGTTGTCAAATCATTCCCAATCGAATCCAATAACCTCTTTTTCGGTTATCGTCTTCCCCTCATTTCTTCTAAGTTTATTTTCATCATCATTTTTACTTCTATCGATTCCCTCTCCTCGTGACATTCCTAAAGTTTATTTTCTCCCATTTTATCCGCTATCGATGCCACGCTTATGCTACTTTTTATGAATTCGTTCCTATCCTATCTTCTCTCCTCACTTGAATCATCCACCTAAGCATTCTTATGTCAGCTACACTCATTCTCTACTCTATTTTTCTGTCTACCTCCCAACACCGAACCATTCATTCTCACTCAACATATTCTGTTTTATTTCTACCAATCTTTGTTGTATATTTATCAATACCACTGTGAACTGTTTATAGGCTAACCATTGGCCTATTCATAAGAACGAATGTTCGTTACGAACGACCATTACATAACTCGACGACCATTTTATTGGCTTCTTGAAGACATCTTAAAGACGTGTAAGTTACAGATCATTCCCAAAATCTGTTCACATTTTGTTATTATTTTTACAATCGATGCGTACCAATCGTATTTCTGTTAAAATGCATTTTTTTTTTTAAATATTTGTTATGTTTACAAAGTTTTAAATTTATTTAATTTATTATAATGGAGTAGTACGAAATTGCCAAGCTAGTGCTACATTATATTGTGTATATATTTTTGCAGGCAAATTAAATTTTCACATTAGATACAATTCTAACTCTCAGTACTAGTTGTTTACATGGAGATATTTTTTATTTATTTCGAAAAAAGTAAGAGGGAGTACTGAGAAAGAATACAGTTTTTTTGGGCGTGATGACTAATTAACGTAAAAGCAATATTTTTAAGTAACCCGTTACTTAAGTATCGTTTTCTAAGAAATCTGCAAATAAAAAGTATAAAATAAGAGTATGTCTTGTATACAACTCGTCTTGTATAACACTTACATTGTAACTTACTCGTCAAACTCGACATAACGTCATTTTTCATAGAAAACACGAACTGTTCTATACAATTATTTTATTATTGAGTACATTCGGTTTAATCGTTTTGGTTTTAGTTCTAAAAAAATTACGATTTTTCAAATGACGTTATAACTTGTTTTGTTGGACCTATTGAAACTAATGGTTATCTATCAACCTTAAATTACTTGTTACGAATCCCTGAATAACTTCACATTCAAAAGTTGTTCTTATGCGATGCTTTTTATTTTATTTCCGTACATCGTACATCAGATGATAGGTTATTTCAAGGTTACATTTTTAATCAAGTATAGTTTTAAAAAAATTTGGTTTTGGGATATTTAGTTAGCATAGTTAGCATAGCAAGTTATATTTATAGCATTTTGGTATATTTTGTCAATTTATAATATATTATCATTATGTTTATGTTTTATTAGTTATGTTATTTTATTTTATTCAAAAATTATTTTAAATATAAAGTATAAAATAATATATAATTTTATTCTAAAGCGTGTTTTTATTTATCACAAAACCTTTCCCATTATAATTTTTATAAGTAAGTTGTAATCGTTTTTTTTTTTGGTAATGAGGTTGAGGTTGACATGTGTTGTGACTAGATGAGATATCATATAAAGTAAGTGTGCAAGATGATCGTATATGGTTGAAAAAAAGGTTGAAGTGGTCCTAACATAACATAATATGAAGACTAAAGAGAAAGTTAAAGAGAGTAAAAATAAATTCAGAAGCGTCACTGGAGGTAAATGAAGTGTAGATATCAGGCCTTTGGCTAACCTTTTTAACAATCTTAAATATACCTTGCGCCACGAGAGAAGGAACCCGTTTTGCGCAACACGACTGACGGCCGCGACTGTTCCAAGGCCCCATTACCCCCACTTTGTGCCATTCAGTGTCGCGCTGAGGCGTGCATACAGCGCGAAACAAGCGATATACAGAGTGATTGTATATAAAGTATATTATTTATTATAATTGTGAATGATTATATTGTATTGTCATTTATAAATTATATATATAAAATTATTTATTTATTTAAAACACCTACGGTAGTGTAACATAATTAATTTATTATATTAATTTATAAATATAAATATAATAAGTTATAACATATATTTACAACAAGGTCAAGTGAGGTCAGAGGTTTTTTATGTACAGGCAAAGGAAAGCCGCGTCCCGACTTTTTGTGTACAGGCAAAAACAGCCAGGTATTTCATATCTGGATGTTCTTCTTGGCTCGACTTGTACAGGTTAACAATCATCATTTTTTGCCATTTTCCAACAAACTGAAATTAACAAAAAATAAGTCGATTCGTTCATAATTTAAAATTTACAAATAAAGTAAAACATATATTATATATATAAGTATAAATTCAATAAATATAAAATAATTTTAAAATTCTTACCCTTCCTTTTTGATTTCTGAAGAATCGTTGTTTTGTTCAGCAGATGTAGTAGGTTCATCGACTAATTCTTCGTTGAAAACGTTCATTTAAAAAAAATCAAAAACAAAAATAACGACAATAATGTAAATAACGTAATAATAATAATATATATAAAGTATATTTTTGTTATTTTAAAAGTAAAATAAAAAAATATTTATATTAAAATTAAAGCTAAAACATACTTATATTTAATTTAATATTTAAATATTATATTATTATTATTATAATAATAATGTAATAATTCAACAGTAAAAGCAAGCGCGTGGTTGAAAGACGTAAGACGTGAGTCTTGTGACTTGTTACACACTGTATCGAGTTTACGTTATGATACACCCTATATATGCAGCGCCGCCGCCGACCGTGGGCGTGGCCTATCGGTGGCGATGCGCGGAATCAACGCGTTTCGGTCGAGCAACGGGTTCCTTCTCTCGTGGTGCAAGGTATATTATGAAGTAGTTGTAGCGTTAAAAACGAGAAAATTGAGTTGAACCTGGTCAATTTTTTCTGGATAAATAATAGGTTGACGCGACAAGATACGATTTAAATTAAAAAAGTCATTCCTAATGCATATAAAACATAGTAAATACCAAATAGTCTATTGACTTTTTAAAAACTTGGAAATTTTCTTTAAAAAACCGCTACTTATCCCTTCTCTCAGAAAAATATACGGGCCTTATGTTTCATTCAGTAGACGTTTTTCTTACCACTTCAAGAATTATAATTGTTGCAAATATCATAGTGCACTAAAGTCGAAAGTTGTAATATGATACATAGCAGAGTAATATCAAAGCTACTTTTTTTCAATTGAAAATTGTGCTTAAATACAGAAAAAGTATATCTCGAACACGAAAACTACAATTTGATATAATTGAACTACAAAGTACAAAATGTAGGTACTTCTAAAATAGTAGTTTAGCATTCTTGATGTGTATAATGTTTATCCTTCTATAATTATTTGTTTTTCGAATCTCTGTCGATGAAAAAATAGCTGTACAAAATATAACACGCGAGAAAAGTAAGAAAAAAAGCAAAAGGCTTGTCTTTGACTGATTGGTTAAGAAAACTGACAAATCGCTTAAACGTTGAACAAAAACTGCCAATTGTCACTGTAATGGCGTTGGTAATGGTCGTCTGGCTGGCGTCGGTTACTTGGAAACCCGGAAAAAGATGGCTGTCAACTGACTTGACGGGAACAAAGTACTTGATCAGTATGTGTTCACACGTCAACTCGTGTTGTTCATACGTCTCACGTCCGCCGTAGAATTCTATGCGACACGTGCGACAGTAATGAGGCACCGCGGCGGGCTCGACATTGCGCTCGCACCGGCCAAAGTTGCCGGTAGCCTCGTAGTAAAAGAATACGGCCGGGCTGAGCGGGTCCGCGTTAAACGCCTTGTACACCATGTCCATCAGCTCGGACGGCCGCAACAGCGCAAACGTGTGGCGTTCGTCCGTCCCGACGTCGTGAGCCAACGACTCGGCAGCTTGCGCTTGTTTCGGTGTGCCGAACAACAGCGACCGGCACGATCTGCACTCGAAGTACCCGTGGTGTTGCGTCCGGTCGGAACAGCTGGTCAGATGCGAAGCCGTCAACACGTGACGTTCCCAACCGTTTGTGTCGACGGCGACCGCGTCGCAGACGCCACAGCAGAATCGTCTCGTCGGCCGCGACGTCGCACAATCGCTTTTCTCGGCCACCGCAGAGCCGGCGACCGCGATTCCCACGCACTTTTTCAAGTGTTCCACGACGCTGGCAGAGTCGGACGCCACCACTAGATGGCAACTGGCACAGTACACACATGCGTTGGCGTTCAGCCGGACGAACCGAGACCTGACGATCTGCGGAAGTTTCCAGGCGTCGTCGCAGACCAAGTTGGTCTCGGTGGACAGGGCCAGATGTTCCAACGAAGACAGATGCAAAACGTATGTGTCGGCGTGACAGACGAACATGACTCGGCAGAAACGGCAATAAAACGGTTCGACCGCTTCGTCGGCGTTCTGACAACGGTAGTCCGGGTGTACGGGCGCGTAGGAAAACTGTTTGCACGGATCGCAAAAGTACAGCGGCTTGCACTTGGACCGCTCCTTGAACACTTCCAACACGTGCGCCATCAACTCGACCACGTGCGGCAAGTCGGGCTTGTGACATTGTTCGTTCGATAAGTGGGCCCTTACGTTACCGTCGGTGTCGTACATTACCGTTTCACAAGTGTCACACGAGTACGAGACAAGCGTCTCGTTTTCGATCGCGCACCGGTCCCAGTGGGCGTTCGACCACACGTGTAAGTGCTTCCAGTGTTCGAAACTGTCGGTGTTCAACGAACACGGTCCGCAAGCGAACACCGTGCTCGCATTCGGCATGTACGTCAAGCGCGTGCAACCGTCAAAATGCGAGTCGAGCACGACCGCCGTGTTTTCCAGTACGCGGCTGCACGCTAAGCAATACGTCATATTGTTTTCGTTTTCGACGGGCCGAAAATGGTACTGGGCAACGGCTTGCAACGATGGCCTCAACGTCGTTGGCCTCGTGTTACGTTTTACGGCCATTGTTTTGGCACCGTCCGTTTAACGTGCACGCTTTACCTAATTTGATTTGTCAGCTTAGCGCCACTTGACTGAAATAACGAACATGGTCGCCCGGTTCGTCCTAAGCTTCATAAGTTATATTTCTGAAACAGAACAAATGCGTAGTCAGTAGCCACAGTCGACTTAACCTTTCTATATTATTATACTTTGGTAAAATGGATAAGATTTAGTATCTAACCTCGACATTCATAAATAATAAAGCGAGGTTGAAGGGACCTACCGTAGGTACAACCAATTGCGTTTTACCAAAAAAACATAATTACATGACTTTCATAAAAAAATCATCGCTTCACCACAAAACCGTAATTAGGAGGGGTTTAACATTTTGTTTTGACTAAGCCGTGGGATGGAAGATTTTTTATACAGAAACTTTACCCAACATATTAATTTCAAATTTGGAGTATTATGTATAGTATAGTTTAAGTAGTACAAAAATTGTTAAATAATAAATTATAATACTTAACATTATATAATAACATAATTTATTTAATATTATTTTAATTGACAAATTTGGTAATTATTGTAAAAGTTTAGGTACTGAAGTTTGCAGATAAGAAACTAGGAAATCGTCTATCAAATATTATGTTAAACGTGTTTATTTAACTTGACAAAGTTTTAGGATTGAATTTTACGTTTCACTCAAAACTTCTAGTCGTTGTTATGGTATACGTAAATATGTGGATGGTTAGCGCACAAATGTGTTTTGTGACATTTAACAAATTGTTCAGTTGAAGCATTTGAAAGTTCACATTTAAATAAACCACAGTACATATCTCAAACAACAATAACATCTATAATTAATAATATTAATTATAGATTACTTAATTTATAGTGGATAAAATATTAAACAATTCACTTACAACATTTGTGCATAATATGAAAAGTGACATTTTCGACAAAAATGTCACTTAACACATCTGTACGCTAGACCATCGATATCATACTATGAGGAGCTTGAAATGAAATATTTTAGGCTTTTATATTTTGACTTTTTTCATTTGATAATAAGTGTACTTTTTTGGATATCAAGAATGTATAATATTCAGAAATTTGTTTTTAATGTACATCCATTATCGCTATGTCTTGCGCATACGGCATAAAATATAAGTCTGTAAATAAGAACATATTTCTATGTTCTGAACTGGGTTTTCTGGAAACTAGATTTAATTCGATTTTTAAAATCTAATTTCTAAACCTCTGTTAGGGGCTTATTATTTTTGATACCATATAAACATGAACATTTCTTAAAAATCGAGAATATCGGCTAATATTCCCGATACAAAAGTCAAATCACATGGTATGAACAGCTATGAAGAAGGCTCTTGTGAGCCCACAAGAGGGTATATACTCTCTAGTTTATTGATCTAAAATGATTAAAAAACCTGTTACAAACTACCATAAGCTGATATTTTAATGACAATTTCAATAAAGTAGTCAAATATATTATGTTTCCTTGAAAAACTGCGCACAATCGCTATTATTTAATACAACGTGTACATCCCAATTATTTTTTAATGTTCAAAGTTCAAACACACTTTTTTTAACAGTGTTTTAATCAATTTGATTACTTTGTCCAAAGGGTACGGCGTATTATAATGACCTAACCAGATGTGGTATACTGTGAATATTAAATTCTATTACTTTGTCGGCATTCAGCATTGGCAAAGTAGTTTTTTAACGACAACCCATTAAATGGGTAAATGTAAAAATTGTATTAAATAATTTTATATGTAAAATACGGACCGCGACGAGCGTTCAAGGCTATACTTTAGGTCGAATTCTTTGATACCAGTGCCGTCAAGAAAACCGGCTTGTCTTTGCGATCCCCCCACCATCGGCATTTCGATCACTTATATACCAGTCGGGGCCAATGGTTCAAGGAGATCAATTCCGACAGCCAAGTAGAAGACAATATGACTTCCATCTAAGGCGTCTCAAAAACATATTTTATATTTTTGTCAAAAGATCTTTGCGTTCATATTTAACTGTACGATAAAAATTATTATTCTAATTTTGATAGTTCAGAATTAATTAAACATCTACAATCTTCAACCTCAATCACATCTGTACCAACATTTCAATTTCAAACTAACAGTTATAAAGCCCTAGTTTTACTGAGGGTCAGTAACAAACCTGTCTATAACGCCCACGATCTCAAGAGAGGCTATTCTTTATTCAAACATTTTTTAAAACTATCTACGATTAAAGGTCTATCTCCACATAGACGGGCGTCTGTGTCGAATCCGGGTGGAAAAAATATTGTTCTAGACAATTCTCTCTTCGGGTTCCCGAACGGTCCGGACACCCCCCCCCCACCGGATATGCATAAATAGACCTTTACTATATAGGTATAATGTTATCCCTTGACTCTTAAGTATGAACCTAATCACGCTCGGTTCAGTAATGATGATGGTTTGTACTAGTCATTATTTTCGTGTAGTTTTGGTAAATAGTAACGCTTTCAATTATTTCTGGTTGTTAGCCCAACCCAACCTGACCCTCTACCTAATATCGCAGAGAGATTATATTATAGGACACATCCTGGCCATACCCATAGATACACACAGAGTTGTGGCCCGGGTTTAGGAGATAAACGTATGAGTTTCGGAAGTATTGAGTATTTACAATAGAATAGAGGCGCATTGACGCAAGCCCACATTGACGGCAAACGACGGGATATGTACGGGTGAACATTTCGCACATCCATCGTCAAGGTTATCTAAAAACCCACATTAACAATTATGCAACGCTCATTATAAGCTACAGCAGATAAATTAACATTTTACCGTACACAGTTATTATACGGATATGTTAAATAGCAGGTATATGCAGGACGCACGTCCGCTGAGGCATCCGGATTCACCATTATCTAAAATGCGTACTAGCCCGCACATTTCACACAACACACGATTACCACTATCGCGTTCATATAAATACCAGTATGGAATAATACATCACCTACAGTCCTAAAATCTAAATGTTTGCTAGTGACAGGTATAATACGAGCAGCTGAATTGATATCGATTGATCTTAAAACGATTTTATTTTTAGAGCTTATCCCTTACATAAAATATAAAATCCGCAAGAGCAATTATTTGAAAAAATAAAGATTTACTTATTCGTTTTGACTTGTTCATAGAAACCTTGTTTTTACATTTACACTGTAGGTGAACTCAGTTGCTCGCCTGTTGATATATCATAGGAATTTACAGTAAGTACAGTAGGGTCGGGGCTAACCGCTAAGCGATGTCGATGTAGTCGCAGGACAGTAATAGTTATCACAAATGTGACTGATGAAACTATACTCTTAAACGAAACGCTTCGATGCGAATCTACAGATGGTAGAAATGTCGATAAAAATCGTTACAAAGGCAATAATGTACATTAAATTGTATTTTTAGCATTATGCAGGTACAATAGGTTTATTACGATTAGGGTAGGTCGTCTGACTACCTAATTAAACATCATAATATAGATAGTAAACATATTTTACTGAAACCTGTTGACTGTTGATTCGTTTTCACGTAGATATCAACCTGAAAATTTAATGTTGAATATTGACAATACCTTTGAAAAGTCTTATCGCATCAATACAACGATCTCTGAAAAAATTAGTATAATATAGACAACATTGTCTGTGCTCTACCATGGCCCTTTTGGCAATATTTCAACCAGTTAATCAATAATTAATTAATTAAGAAAAGGGCTTTTTTAAAAATGCTATAGCGTCGGTAGTATTAGGTATATTGAAAAAACAAGGATGCTGGAGCACACATAATTTTGTCATGTATAATATGTATGAATTTCATTCCTCAACTATACATGAAGACTGAGAAAAATTAATCCACGCAAAGCAGTTTTGATTGGAAAAAAATTGTAATTTATCCTATAGAAATGAATGTGATAGTCTGACAAAAAAAAAATTACAATCAACAAAGTATCCTCATTACTGTATAAATAAGTATACATTATAGTTCAGACTCTAAATTAAGATTTTTCGAAAAATTGCCTATACTTAACTCCTTAGAAATGGCCGGTGTGGCGTTCTCTTAAATATAATTATTGTTATTGCGTATATTTTTTTAATTTCAATTAAACCAGTATAAATTAAAAACTATTTTATTTGTCCTTCTAAATAAAATAATTGGTATTTAAATTATACCCATTCGTATTTAATTCTAAAATTTGTTAAACGTCAACCTAAAAAGTACATCACTAGCATAAAGACCAATGCCTTTAGATGTGCCTTAGGATGTACTTTTTAGTTATATCATGTTAAAATTTAAATACCATAATTTGTTTAAATTCGGAACCTAACCTAATCGATTCGAAATAGCTTTGTAGCCCGTTTTGAGTTTTAAATACGAGGAAAGGTCATCTGCATTCCTTCGAATTCAAAATTGAGTAAGACGACTACCCACATTTAGTTTAAATTAAAACAATTTCAACTTTTCTGCAGCGTAATCGTTTTTTTTTGATAAAACAAAAAAAATGTCCCTGTTTTTTAACTACCACTTAGTGTATAAATGACGCATCATCATTTCTAGCATAAAACCCTTAATAAAAAAAATAGATTGAATTAAATGTCATATTTTGTTCCCACGTTATATAAAGTAGTAAAAAACTGTTTCAGTTGACATTTTTGCTTACAAAGGAGCTATTAATTATGTTATGCGGGCCTCTAACCCAAAAAACGTTTCAAAATACTTTCTCATGTTCAACTCACATGTTGGATAGGTATTAATTCTCTGGTTTGTTGTTATTTCTTGCTCGTAGGGAAACGTATACCCGACTCTCACAGTATGCCAAATTTTCGTTCCTTTCACTGTCACGTTGATTATTCAGAAACCGATTCAAAAAGATATAAGTATATGAAACTGATATTGATTAGATATTTTCTTGTTTCTTGTTAATAGGAATCTCGTCGAATGTAACCAACTTATAAAAAAAAAAATGTATAAAAATTCAAATTCAAAAGTAATAACTGTTTTACTAAGACAGTATAAGGTATTGAAACGGTTCGGACTACCATAACAGAGTCACTGACGTATTAATCTGCTGTAATAAAGCAAAAGCGATAAGCAAATATCTATATTATACAAATATATCTGTAAACACATAAAAAACTTCTTTTTTAAATTAAAATAATAATTATCTTGTCACATAAATTGCTCGTGTTTTCAATAAGTACTTTTTAGAGTGCGCACACAGACAATTAAATCGCGTAAATAAATACCAGACAATGATTTATAGTGCAATAATTGTTTCATGTATCTATCTAGTAACCATCACTACTTTATTTTAATTTCTGGCATTGTACCTCCTTAGTGTTGAACGACTATTTTTTTTTTTTGTAATAATTGTTATCAATACAATTATCTACTACACAACAGCAAACTGCTTTATTGTTATAAGCAAATATTTGTAAGCCAATAAAAGCGTATTATTTTAAACTATACAATATTCAGCAAGTTTCACTCCAATTTCTAATTTTTGCCCTAGTTAACATAATAATCATAAAACAATTTTAACGGTGTTAAAAGTGGCATTTAAAAATAATTGATAAACCATAGTCAGATTCCTATCCTGACATCCTGTAATAATTTACATTGCTCATACACACGTTTTTGTTATTTGTTGAGGGGGTATCTTTTCAATATATTATATATATGTACATTGATATGTATATTGATATATATATATATATATATATTGATTGTTTTTAGAAGTCGCTACCGGACGTACTAGTTTTTAAATCGATAAAACAATAGTTATTAATCATTTATGAATTAAAAAATAATTTTTTAAAAGTTTATTAGAAAGAAAAACTATAAAAGTGCAATTAGTTCTCGCGGAAGTGAATTATCACTTAAATAGATCACTGCAGCGTGTTAAAAAACTACAAGTTTTACTATTTAAATCAGAAAGTGAAAACTTTCTTCGTTTAGCTTTTTGACATAGTTTTGTGACTTACGGTAGAATTAAAGTGAAGCTATTACATATTTTCAAAAATCTGTAGTCGAACTTTTTTTTTATTAAAAAAATATCCCTAAAAAAAGAGTAAATTACACTTTGACCTCAATAAATGTCTAGGTTGCTGTTTGTGAATGAATCAACAGTCAACAGATAGGATCAGAAAAATACTTTCATTATTGTTGATTACGATATATGAGTACAACGACAACATATTAATAAATTTACATTTTGAAAGAAATTATTCCCTTTATAATTATGATTTTTATGGATATTTAATATTTCTATCATCTACAATATTATATCAAAACTTTTTTTTTAGTTATTTATCCCTCAGTTTTACTAGTTCCTAGTTCCGACTACACCAATCTCATTATGCTCCATCCCTGCTACGCCAAGACCCTACTGTATTGGCTTTTAAAAATAATACTTGACATTTTATTGAAAAAATTTATTTTTAACATGATGGAAATATAACATAACTAATACGTAAAATATTTATATTTATTTTTCGTGATGATCTTTTCACTATATGAAGGTTACATCACATTTTCGATTGTATCAACTATATTCATAATAATAAAAGGAATAGGTTTAATACTTTAAAAAATGTTAACAATAAAAAAAAGTTCAACAACTATCATCTAAGGAATATTTATAAAGAATAATGTAGAATTTGGTTTCTAAACACACTATGAAAACGTTTAAGGATGTATGGATTCAGTTATAAAAATGTTTTCAAAAATTCTTTTTATATGATGAAAACGCATTACTTTAATTGTAAATTGAACAGAGTGTCGATGGCTATTTTCAAGTTTTTCTTGGCTGCGTCGTTTTTGATGGCCTTAAGCCGGAGCGTGACCGATTGCCCATATGCGTCGTCTTCGTCGACTTTAGGCGGGATTGCCTCAAGCGGTTTGGGAGGGATCGGCTTAAGCAAAACAAAATACTTCAGCAGAACGTGTTCACCGGTGACCGCGTGCTCGTTGTAGACATTCGGTCCGCTATAAAATTCAATGTGGCAAGTGGCACAAAAGTGTGGCACTGTGTCGGGTTTTTGACTACGCTCGCACTGGCCAAATTTACCTGTATTTTCCATATAGAAGAACACAGTATTGTTGAACGGATCCATGTTGAACGTTTTGTAAACAAAAGCCATCAGGTCGGACAGTCCAAACGTGAGAATTACGTGATTAGTGTTGTCGTCATGCTCCAACAGTTTGCTCGCATCCAGCACTTGCTTGGCAGTACCGTAAAACAAGCAAAAGCACAACTTGCAATAGTAATAACTGTAATTGCGAACACTGTTAGCCGTGGATAGGTGGGATTCTGACAACACGTGATTTTTCCACTGGTTGAAGTTATCCATGTGGAATTCGCAAACACCGCAGCAAAACAGCTTGACACCAGACATGTTCTTGCCGGTCATGTCTGGTTTATGGTGGGTGCACTTCTTGAAGTGGTCCACGAGACCAACGTCAGTGGAGGGTACGTCTTGCTTGCACTTGACGCAATTGGCAACTTGATGTTTGTTCAACGTTGAGCTGGAAAACTGTGACCACACGATACGGGGTACCTTCCACCCGTTGCTGCTGATTTCGGTCTCCTTGAGCAGTACCAAATGTTCGACGGAAGACAGATGCCACAAGTATACATCTTCAGTGCAAATGAAATTGGCAGCACAAGTCTTGCAGTAAAACGGCTCCGATTTCTTTTTAACCTTTGTACACGTCAATTCCGGATGTATAGGTTCCTGGCCAAACTCTTTACACGGGCCACATAAATAGAGCAGCGGTTTCCCGGGTTTGGCGCCGCTGGTGGTCGACTTACAATGTACTTCGGCCATAAATTGGCATACATATGGCAAATTTGCTTTGTGCTCGTGTATGTCGAGCATGTGGTTCCTTATAGACCGTTCTGTATCGTAGAACATCATTTCACACGAAGAGCACATATAAGTATAGAGCGGTTTGTTTACTGCTCTGCATTGCTCCCAGTGTGATTTCGTCCCTATATGAAAGTACATCCAGTGCTTAAAGCTTTTTGTAGATATCGAACACGGTCCGCACGTGTACTCAGTATTTGGACTCGGTTGAAACAATAGTGGCGTACACACAGTAAAATGTTTTTTTAATACTTGAGTCTTATTGTCAAGCACTCGATTACAAAAAACACAAAACACTTTGTTTGCCATACTAAATGTTTTAAATGTGTATTTCATTACAGCTTTTAACGATGGCTTTGGAACCGATTCATTTGGGCTGCTGGTTTTGCTGCTAGACACCGACATTTTTTGAACTTCGCACTTTTAAGTAAGAAACAGATGATTATGATTTTACTGGCCGGTCAATAGTAATACATGAACAAGTCCTAAAACATACCAACATTTTATAAATTATTTTTAATTCAAAATAGATCCTAATTAAGTACAAAGTACTGAACAAGTTTTATTTATTAGTAAGTCTTAAGGCAACCATACAAGTAAAATGGTCAAGTAGTTTCACAGATTTGCTCAGTAACATAAAAATTTAAAGAAAACTTTATTGTAATTTCTAAATAAACGTAATGTAATATGCATTTTTAAATTGTGTACAAATATTAACCGTATAAAACCATTAGCAAAAGAACTAGAATAACTAAAATTTTCATATCTATCTTAGTTTAAAGTGAAATACATTTAACTATATATTTTACAGAAACTCTAATTTGTAACGTTGTTATTAAAATAAAATTAAACATTATTTAAAAACATTTGTACTGAATATACCCCAACTTTTTAAACACACTTCTCTACATAGTTAAAATAAAACATAGTATAAGGAATCTGTAATCAGAGCGCATACTGTAAATTAGAGTGATCTTTGGTTTAAATTTGTTTTTATTATTAATTTAATCATTTTTTTTTTTTTTGTAAAATATTGAATAGAAACGGTAAACAGTATACATATATTGTAAATAGTTGAATCTTACACTGAAATTACAGTTGTTGTAATTTTGTACATTCAACACAAAATATGGGTGTCAACAAGATAAAAAACTTTAAAAATTCTATAAAGCTACTTAATATCTTTGTGTCGGGTTTACCATACATTGAATCCACTAGAAATAACAACAATGTGAATAATTAAGATAATAGTTACTATAATTAGTATGACTATTACATTGTTATGCTTAAAATAAAATAATCAAAGAATTCAAACATTTCAATACACTATGTTTTTTTTAATCACGCATATTTTTGTACATTTATAAGACACGGTTCTAACTACCGGCATTTAATAGCTTAAGAAAAGACCTTTAAGATGGATTAAAATGAAATCTTTTTCTTAAATAATTAAAAATAATATGTTTTGACTTTTGTAAAAATAAAAATTTTATCAATTTTTTTTTGTGGCAGTTACACAAGCTACATGTTTGATTTACCTATTTTTTGAATTGCATTGAACGAGGAGAGAATTATGGATGATTAGCGAGAGCGGAAAAAAAACATTATTAATCTCTCTTTCACTATAATTAGGAAATAATAACAAAAATATACTTTCTCTTAATTATTAAGTATAAACTATACTTAGATGGTGACAAACAAAATATTCTTTATTTAATCTTGGCAACTAATCATAATACAACTTGGTAGAAAAATTAAAATTTTAGTACACAAGACATTTATCAAAACAATTAACACTAAAAAAATTAAGTAAAACAATAATAAATTTCTAAATTTCCATTTCAAATAAGTTTTTTTTATAAACAAACTATCTAAAATCTTTAAATGGTAGGTGTGTATATCGTTAGAGTAACTTTAAAACTATATATAAAATATCTAGAATTTCAATTAAGTACTTACAGAGTTTTTTGCTTTGATGCGAATCTGTTATTATTTAATAGATGTGGACTAAACGTCAATAATCGCCAACAATAATGATTATGGTACTTAGCTGGGAACATCAATGGCGATAACAAACTATATTATAGGAGTTGATATAATAATTTTATTAGTGAAGTAGAAATTTACCTATAGTATCTATGAATAGAACACCAACAGGAAATGAAAACGTCCTTAGATGTATAATATTAGTAGTTCGTATGGGTTATAGTTTAAACTATTAACATAGTACTTATAACTGGTTTTCATTTTAGAAAACGTTTAATGTTATTAGTGTGAAAGAATTGGAAATTCATTATAGTTATTGTTGCTGATGAACTACCGTCCAACAGGCAACAATATTAAAATACGATTATTGTCCACAAGGCACAAAAAATTGATATTTCTGTAAATTACTAAAACATAACGAGAAGTGGAATTTGTACCTTTGATAAGTCTATTCTAATATCTATTATCTCTTAAAAACTGTACTATTACCAAAGGGGGGACACTGATAAAAATTAACACGGTAAAGATACTTATCACACAAAAACGCGTCGGCCTACTTCTAAATATGTAATGACATAATAAATTATATCTATACATAATTATTTTTAGTTGTTTATTCAATATTGTGTATAGATATAATTTATTATGATTATAGCATAATTGAAACATGGTTGTCACTTTTTTGCTTACATTGTTAAGTGACCCTTCTGCTTTTATCTATTCTCTGTTATTACCACAGAATAGATTCAGCCTTACCAGTTTTTTTACCTAATCTTGAAAAATAAATTATTTTAAAATCTGTTACAAATGTAGCAGAGCTATCTATCGGCGAATTGTAAAATCTGTGTACTGCCATTATTTTAGTTTTTATATATTAAAATTTAAAAATACCATAATAGTACCGATCATAAAAAAATAGTAGATTTCAAACATTAAACCCGTTTATTTTTATTTCCCTGATGCAACTATTTAGTAAAGGGTAATATTTGAAAAAAATCATAGCCACTCACTCAATGATAACATTGTGGTGAACTGGACTCTATCCATTATGTCAACTTATTTTTTATAAATTTGTAATAATTGCTTTTAAAGTTAAATATAAACTTTTAAATGACAAAATCTCGTGTCCAAATTTATTAAAATTAGTCGCTTATCATGTTCCTCAGTTTTATTCACGTTCCAGTCCTACTTTCTCCTTGTCTTTCCACAGAACGTTGTATGGTTTCAATACACCAATTGACAGAACATGCCGCGAATGTAATCATTTATCTCATTTAGATTTTTTCAATATAAATAGTCTACCACCTTTAAAATGTCTTAATTTAACCTAGATTTGTGTTTTGTATTATTATTTATACTCTTTGGTTTTCATGATTTATAATTAATCTTTTATAGTTAAAATTGTGTTAAACTGTTATTTAATTGTAATTTTAAATTTTATTATCTGTATACTATTATGTAACTTTGTATTGTACTTGAGCCGTAATGGCGTTAATTCAAAAATAAATAAAAAATGTTTTAGGCAAGGGCTATTTATTTAGCGCAAAGCAATATTTGACAAAAGTTAATTTAGTAGCCATTTTAAAAATGTCGACTAATTTTAAAGTGAAAATATATTTTTCTAATGTTTTTCTAGTAGAAACTTTTAAAGTTAATTTTATCCGAGTTACGGCAAAGGTTTGACAAAAAATTACTTTCATAGAAGTTATTTTCTAGCGTATCCATTGGAAGGATTTCGTTTTTTTTTATGTGAAGTCTTCTATACTAAGCCTACCAACATTCTATTTCAAAAGTTAAAATTTGTAATTAGTAATTACCTATATTATAAAATTATTTGAGGAGCTTACAAGTCCGAATTTCAGCCTATGATCTAATCCAGCACCAGCAGCTTTAGTGATATTTGATACTTGTGATGTTTTAAATCTCGACTTATAATTAATTATAATTATTGGGCTATCTTAATATAATAAATGCTGGAATTACCATACATATAAATAAATAATAATTTTATACATTGAACTACCCGTTGTCAAATTTGAAGTAAAACTTTGATTTCAAAGGTATGTTAGAACTTGGGTGTAATGAATTACATGTTACTAGTATTATTAGTTATAAAATATAGTAAAATATATAGACGCACACCATCACCGGTTCGAGTGTTCGACACTTGACCAGGCGTTCTATTTGTGGGGCGGGATATTGTCTATTATAAAAGAGACTCTGATGACAAACGGATGACCCACCCCGGATAGAGATTCTGGTAAAAACCTCTTTCCCTGGAGGGGGAAGCAGTGGCTTTACATATAGGTCGCTTAAACTATTTCCCAGAGTAAAATATGTGTACATTTTGTCAGTACTTGAAAATAATTTATAACTTAAGTGTTTTATAGTATTATATATATAATAAATCAAATATAAATATAATTTAAATAAAATGTAATTTAATTATTGTTGATAATTTTCTAAAAAATATTATTATTGTAATTGAGTTGATTAATGTATAGCTGTTTTTAAGGAGGATTAGGCTGTTTCCACTTTGGTTGAATAATAGACTTAGGAAGAAAGAAAGTTATGCTACAATATACGACATAATATCAGTGTAACATGGTAAATTATTGGTTTCCACTTTCCATACATTTTATTGTAAAAAAATATTTTTGTTCCTTAAAAGTAGATTTTTATTAACGTTACTATAAAAAAATTCGATTAAGTTAACTTTATACATTACAGTAGTAGTCAAAAATAAAAAGGAGAACTTTAATAAATTTTGACCGGTACGTTATGGGATTTTCATTACCTATTTACAGGTCGGATGGCAAAGATATATTCTTACAAAATATTTGGTCAATGGCTAATTTTATCTTGAATTTCACGGTATCGTCTTGAATTTGTTGAAACCGTTGGGCAACGTATAATAAATACTGATCGTCCGTGGATACTAATGAACTTGAAGACAGTGCATCTCTTGTACTGCAAGGTTGTCGATCTTGATTTGATTGTTTTGGAATCTTCGTAGATAGATTATGCAGGCTTGTGGACTTTGCATTTGGTAATGTTGTTTTGTTCTCACTTTTTTTGTTAACACTTTTGTCATCATTTATATTACTCGACGACTGTAGACTTTCTTCCATCTCGGCTATGTTGCTTTCTACTTTCTTCAAAGCTCTAAACAATTTATTTAAAGCAATGTGTTCTTCTGTTGTTTTATGTTTGTCTATATATTTCTTCAAACCAACCATGTAAATGCTACAGACATCACAGTAAATCTGGATCCTCTGTTCTGGTAAGGCCCCACTAGAACTGTTGGAGTAATGCTGTTCATTGTGGTCTTTCCAATGAAGATCTTCATTCGTGACGTAATCACAGTCAGTACAATAAAAAGATACGGCTCGAACACTGTCGATTACTTGATCTTTGTACTGCATCAGCGAGTTAAGCGTCTCGATTTTGATTTTGAAATGTCTAGCAAGTCGCGTTTTTTGCGTTTGATAGATTGGGCTAGTGCAGAGATTGGATACTTTAAGTGGGGACGTGTCTGAGGTATTTAACGGTGAAATTAATTTCGGGTACTCACGATTTTCAACGTTTTTAATGTTACCGATGTACCTTAAAAAAATATGTTCACTTGTCAACGAATGTTTGTTGAAAAGATCGGACGTACAAAAAAATGATATCTTACATGTGTCACAGTAATATGATGAACTTTGGAGTTTTTCACGGAGTCGACCGAAATTTCCCGAAATGTGGTCGTAATAGTAGTAAAACGTGTCAAGACCACAATTTTGGTCTTCTAACACTCGAGCCATACACATAGACAACAAAGATATTTCTCCTGATTGGTTATCAGCAAAAGTTAGGATGGTCGCATCTGTTTTGTTAATAACACACCAAAGGGTCTTATCGTCAAACACCGTGATCACGTTACCAGCATTGTGGCAACGAACAAGATGTTGCTTTGATACCACGTGGCATTTCCAGAGGTTAAAGTCGTTGTGTAGCTCGTCACAAATCAGACATTTAAAAGTATCGATATTAGTGAAATTGCGACCCGTTAAGTCTGGTTGATGAACGCAGAAGGATTCTAAATGATTCATGATTTCGCCTTCGTTCGTTGTGCATGAGACGCCACATATCTTGCACCTAATAAAATCATCGGGAAGTGCCACAAAATTTCGCTTGATACATCGAGGCAAATTAATAGAAAATTCCATCAAATATGAATTATCAACTATTGTGTTTGAATTTGATTTGATCCAAAACAAATTATGTTCGTAGCTGAGTGTGTGCCGTTTGTATATGCAATCTGAACAACAAAACACTATGTTGCAGGTGTCACAGTAAAACATTGTGTCGCTATGAAATAGCTGGTGTTTTATTCGACAGGGAGAAATCGACTTACACGTTACACAAGCATAGTAAAATCGAAGTGCTTTTGTTTTTTCAAATTTGGTCATAATGCTGTTTAAAATATAAGACAACCTAGGAAGCAAGTATAATTGCTTATGCTTGTCCTTCATGTGCTTATTAATCGTTTCGCACGGAGCGTAGATCATCATGCTGCATGCTATACACAAATAAGAATATAGGATTACACCATGGCATTTCGTAGTGTGTGATTCAGTCATTATGTGGTTTCTAAAGCCGGTTAAGGTGTTAATGTCAAATTTACAAGGATAACATTGAAATCCACCAGAAATATTATTGTTGTCATTATTGATGATATTGTAATACCGACGATTCGTGCAGGATTTCCAATGACTTTTTTTTTCCTTTAAAGTATTCGGCACAATCAAATTGCAAAGTGTACAATATACAATATTTTCTTCAGTTTCTTTAAAGCGATCAACGAGTACATTATTGATAAATGTAGTCGATAGTTCATTTTCGAATACTTGGCTGTGTGTTGAACTCATTTTTGAAAAACTCTACTTTGGTTCTCTTTTTTTCTGCAAACTAAAATAAACAAGTATTATTAATTACACACAATAATTAATAAATTAATAGGATGTTTATGACCGGCTGTTTATTGCATATTATGCACTTAAACAAAATAACAGAATAAGTTATCATTTAAAATTAAAATAATCTATTTTTTTAGAGTAGGATTATTAATTTTAGCATTGATGCAAACTTGAAAGTGTATACGGTTAGTGTAAAAGTAATAATATAACAACATTCATTGTAAAAATAAAAAAGAATCTACATTGTACTGACTTGGAACCTATGCAACACGTGGTCGGAAGTAGAAAAATTTAGGGGTAAATAATTTATTTATTAAAAAAAAATATATGTTATATTATTTCTGTCACTGGCCGCACTTTAACAGGAGATTAAAACATTATTTTTATTTTTTATTGTAATAAAGATAAAAATACATTTAAAATTATATTGTTATAATATATTTGTTTTATAGAATTATTATTTTGGTGTTGCTTTTGATGAATAGGTTAATTAATTTAATTCAATTTAACTATTTCTTAAAATTATTCACTAGAACAAAAGTTATTTTATTTGTCTTATCTTTGTGGGACTCCGGTATGTATAAGATATTAGAGATAAAAAAAATATAGATAAGAGATTAGAGTTAAGAGATAGTCCAGCTGGATGCTGGAGGCACAGATATATATAATAAACTAGATTGCTAACTGTACATGCCACCAATAGGGAAGATTGAAGCAGCCACTTTTCGCCATCTTGGTGGAATTAGAAGTTAGAACATGACGATAAAATGACAATAATATGCTTATAACAATATAATAAGTTCAGTTGATAACGCAGAATCACAGATATATATATTATTTTATACACTCACAAATCCCACCAGAATGGCGGACCGTCGGCTTCAATTCTTATCGCTAGTTAGCAATCCAGTTTATTATATATATCTGTGGCTGGAGGCGAGGTAAGAGAATAAATATAAGAGGTAAGAGATAAGAGATAACACATTCGATATTAGAAAGTACCAAAAAGTATTTTTAATTTTTTCGCGCACTTATTTTTCTATTAAAAATACTAATTAGTAATTTAAAATAGTATTTTCAATTGAAAAATATTTGGCATTTTTTTTAACATTAAAAAAAAATGTTAACGATTATTATCGAAGAACATTTTTTAATAATAATAATTTATAATTTATATTATTAACATTTTGATAATTTATTCTTAATCAATGTTAATATACTTTAATATAATAATATAAAAAAACAATAATAAAATAAAATAATAATATAGATGAATATCTATTTTGTGATTCATTGCATGTGATATATTATACAAATTAAGTTTTTTTTAAATTTAAAAAAACTAATTAAACAGTTTTTTTTTTAAATAAATGTTTATTTCTGGTTATTTTAATGAATCGTAAAAATATTTTAAATTATTACAAATAAATTTTGGTTATAATAACTTTATAATTAAATCAGAGTTTCAAAATCCGGTTTGGGATTTTAGATTCAATAAATCTGGATTCTCAAACTTTGGTATATCCGTATTTTTCTCAAAAGCCATTTTGCTGGTAAAAAATGTATTCGCTGGGGTAAAATTATGAGACTTCGGCTAGTCCCATTTTATTTTGTTAAAATTATAAGAATTTATTTGTCTCCTTACTTGGTTATGTTGAAAACAGATTTTCATTTAAAGAATTTTTTGTAATTACATTTTAAAAATGCTGTAGCAATTTTTTAAGTAAAAAATCTGTTTCTAACATATTTTTTAAATAAAAAATCTGTTTCTAACATAACTTAGCAAAAGTAATCACATTTAATATTTATCATTACAGAATTGAAATTTGACCATCCTAATTAGTAAAAGTTTTGACAAGCTTTTCAATCTAAAACGTCAAAAATATATTGCTTTTAATACCTTTAAGCAGAGGTAAAGTTACTTCTCTATTTAATGTGAAAATTTGGTGATTTTAGTCTCTTTCGTTATAATTTACGCAAAGCTAATTTTATGGAAAAAAATTCTAATTTTTTCGATAGAAACGACTGTGATACTTTGACAAAAAAACACTGATGTCATTAAAACACTTGTAGATAGTTAAGCACACCCAAAAAGTTAAATGTATAAAACTGTATAATTAAACACACGTCAAAATTATAATGCAACCGCAAAAATAGTTCAACGAGTCTAACCCAAGAAAGTGAACCTAAACATTGCTCCTATAGTTAATCAACTTATCATACTTAGTTAACTACCAAAAAAACGAGTCCTAATTACTAAACTAATTTGCCCATACCTATCTCCTTAATAACTTGGGTTATGACGTCCTCTTTTAGTTGTATGCTTTATTATTTACGACTCAGGGTTTATTGTTGACTTCTTAGTAGTTGAAATACGAAAGTACTATTTTCCTCCAAAAACTGTGCACATTGGCGTCCTCTTAAATATATTATATTATAATATTTAAACTTAAAGTTTTTAACTATTATAATAAACACCATTATTATATAAGCACAATTCACTAACAATGGCATTATTACGTCTCCCTCTATGATTTATCGTACCGAAATAAAAAACTAACTACAATATAATTTACAGTTTTAATACAGGCTTTTTATATTGTATAATACGGAGTATATTTATTTACAATAATACATTTTTATAAAAACTCTTTCTGGCCAAAATAAAATCTGCATGGTTCATGAAATAGGTACTAATATACAATTATAGGATATTATTTAAACATATTTATCTAAATTACGTTTTAAGTTTGGCATTACACAAACCCTAACATTTTGTAGTATAAACATTTAACATATGTTTTTAAGCTTTTATCTATAGCTGTAAGAATTATTACGATATTAAAATTTATACAGAAATCAATACAAATACTTACAAAACCTTAGTGAATGTTTCTGATGATCGTACAACGTTGGTTTTCTTGAAACACATAATGAGTGAATAACATACACACGTCCATTATCTAATCTATTATTCATTAACACACACACTCTGCCATTTTCACATTAAGAACTTGTGACAAACACGACAAAAACTATTTTATGTCTCCCTCCTGTTATTTGGGTAGAGTCGAGTGTTGTCTCTAAGTAGTTAATATAATTTACATTTTATAGTTATTTCAAGTAATATAATACACAATTTGCGATGACTGATTCAATCGTTTATTATAAATTAGTAATATTAATATAACAAGTTTAATAAATATTAAATAAATCACCTTCTCAACAAAGTTGTAACTGTGTATTGTGTTCTAATAAACGGCGTCAGAAACCCGGGGGAAGTAATGTCTCATCAAGCGAGTCTACCCCCGGGTCACCATGGACGTATAGGAAAAAAATATATTATGTAATAATGCTATCAGAAAAAAATTTCCTGAAAATCAGAGTTTAGAGTTTAAATTTGAGGGATGAGTTATTTGTTTTCTAAAATTGTCTTTTAATGGTGTCCTGTTATATTAAATTCAGCTTAGTAGTAGCTTCGTATTTTGGATGTACACAATTGTATTACGATAAAATTACTTTATAAACTATATAAGTGAACAAAAATAAAATTATGTACACTACTATGATCTGTCCAGTTTTAATAAAGTTTTAAGTTTTCACCGTTGTTAATATATGACAACTGACAAATAGATAAATTTATTATTTACCAATAATAGTGTAATACGTTTCTTATAAAAAAAAAAAATTTTAAATCGATTAAATATCAAATTGTAAACGGTATTTAACGTAATCGATTATTTATAAGCTACTAATTACTTACTGCTAGAGCATTTAACTTGCCCTTACACCAATGATCTCAATTTTGTTGTAATAATTACAATGTTACATTGTTGTGATACAAATCGGAATTAAGCGATTAATAAGTTATCATTCATCTTCTGCTACTAATTATCATTGCTGACGATACCGTTTAAAGATATCCGTAACCGGTCAGGGACGCGGGTACTAGACCTTCCTGTCCACGGCCGTCGCGGACCCAAAACCAGCCGTCCGCGGTTGTGGCCGGTTCGTTTTTTTCGACAGTCAGCGTGAGAACGTCGCCTTTGGCCACGGTTAGCGTACCGTCTGACGGCGAACCCAGAAAATCTCGGTGGACCACGAGCAATGTATTGGGACCCACTCTCGGCGGTCGATGATTATCGTTGTTGATTGGGGCTATGTCGTACACCGCTTTCCGGACGTGGTCGGTCACAGGGCTTTCGACCTGACCTGCCACCGTCGACCGTGTCCGCCGCGATCTCCTTACACCCAACGGCCGGGGAAACACGTCCGACTGCGTCTCCCAGCAAGGCGTGCCGCTGTCGACCGCCCCCATTGGTGGTATGATACCCAGCGGTAAGCAACACTTGTACGGTATGTAGCCCTCTTCGGCGTGTGGCGTCTGCACGTACAGCCAGTCGGCCTGCTTGAACACGGCGTTGACGACCATGCCTAACGGTAACGCCACCTCTGTTTGGTAATGGTCGTCCAATTGCGTTTGGTACAGCAGACAACCCGCGCACAATACCATTGGTATATTACCCGGACGGCCGATCGATGACTACATACCAAAACAAACAAAATATGATTGATATTAATTGTTAATGCGATGAATTCTTAGTCATCTAACACAACATTATAGAATACATTGGCTTAGGTTTTAGGGTTTGGTATGGGTTAGGTTTTTAAAAAACCACACAAATCGTTCCATAAACATAGCTGACTTGTCAAATTACACTATGATCTCGTGTGCTTGGATATTATAGGTTGTATACGATAAACATTAACAAATATTTAAACTTTGTCATCAAAATATAAACAAATTCGACCAATACTATATTCAACCAAAAAAAAAAAATAAACATTTGAAATATAGATAAAAAATATATCCCAATTATAGAAAAATTCATTTAAGTTAAACTAATAATTAATTCTAGGTATTAATAATTTAGGCTCGAAACAGCCGTAATAATGTTCATGTTATTATTATATAATATAAATTACTGCATTTATAAAGTTATATAAACACTTATTAGTTATTACATAGGACTTCTCAATTATTCGCCAATAACAGATAATAATCCTATATTTACCTTAGAGAGAAATTCATCCAAGTTAGTTATGCCATATCCATATGTTTGACCGGGTTTCCCGTAGTCTATTACATCATCTGGTTGGGCGCGAACCCTTTGCCTTCTCGGTCTATGTATCACATGATTATTGTATTTTATTTCTCTGTACTGGGGCATTATTGAGTCGGCTATAGATTTTCTAAATATTAATACTACATGTTAAAATTATGAATCAAGAACGAGCCACAATACAAATTGAAGGAATATAATTAAATCAAAATAATAAATTGGACGTAACACTATTCATTATTAAAACAAAAAGTATATTAATATAATATGTTTTTCACTAACATTTCGTGTGACTTCCTGTCTGAATTTTCGTGAGAAGGGTTCTTGTTGTGTAAAACCCATGTCAATGTCTGGTTGTTCTTTTTCGCAAGCGACGAACTTCGAAGACCCATCAGTATCGTTTTCCATCAGGCGACTCTATAAAAAAAAATAGCAGATTTAAAGCTGCAATCTAATTTAACAATTGAAAGTTATAAACAAATTTAATCAATATCATACGAATTTTTTTAGAGTTAATCGAATGCTACTAAACTGTTGATTAGATTTATGAAAATACATTTGAATTGTAATAAAGCATATCCCTAAATTTTCTATATCAATGAGACTAAATTAGAATATTTGAATAATTTAATAACACACTCACACACACACATGAACAACTTGTTATTTTGATTATTGGAAGAGACCATAGAGTAAAATAAAACCTACTATTGTACCTATTGTTGAGGATCAGCTATGCAAAAACAGTCTATTGAACTTAAACATTTAAGCATAATAAATGTATGGAAAGATATATGGTTACTAAATACCAACTTCAACAATATATTTATATTCGTGTTCATAATTTTATTTTTAGTTAATTCTTTAGAAAAGATAATAAAGATATTTAAGGTATTACCTAACAACTAATTATTTCTTACATTAGAAAATATCTATTAGTATTTTTCTGTTTAATGTTTTATCGGCAAGTTTAATTTAAAGTACACATCGAAGCTAAAATCTAGCAAAGTGGAATCATGTTATTTAGTTTCATTTGATAAAAAGTCACTACGGATTTAAAATTTTTTTTAAATAACCGATAAATCGTATATTATATTAACTTATTAAGTTCAGAATAATCGTCTGGACGTCCTATCTCATCGATTGGGAAATTTATAATATTCTAAAAAAGTTTATTAAACTACAAAATTAATATTAATTTTGTGTATTTAGTTAGAATGATCCTAAATAAACGGAAACAAATATAAAGATCAACAAAAATATTATTATTAAGGCAATATTGTGTTTAAAATAGTATTTTTATTATAAGGAGTATCATAAGGAGTATTATAAGGAGTTGGGAGTATGTGGGGACGGAGCATAGTGAGATCAGTGTTGGTATAAGCCGGTAAGAATTATTTTAAGTGCGAGAGTGATGTAATCATTTTCAGATAAAATACTTCAACACGAATCTGTAGATGGTAGAAATACAAAAATCTACGTATTACATAAAATCATTGTAAGAGCTATACCGTGCTTAAAATTGAACTTTTAGTATTAGGATGGATACGATTAGGGTTGATCATCTATTTATGATTATTGCCGTTGCCATATATCGTAATCAACAAGATAATGAAGATGATTTTCAAATATTTGTTTATTGTTGATTTATTCAATCACTGATTCACACATTCACACGTAGCAACATGGAAATTTAATAATGTCAAAAGGTTATTTCCCTCGATTTTTTGGGGTTTTCCTTAATAAAGGCTTAATATTTTGAGAAAATTGTAAATTTATAGTCTTACTCTTCAGTCTAATTTTCATACCAAAAATACGTGCGAAAAAGGTTATTAAAAAAGAATTTAACAAGGGTAGGGGAAAGTGTTTTGGATATTTTTTTTGGTTAGTCAACTTAATCGATAACATTATACTTGTATCTAAAAATTATTCCATATCTACTAATTTAGAACTATTTCGACTATTTAAAAAAAAATGTACACTGTGCCATAACTTTTAGATGGAAAGTGTGTATATTTGTATGTGGTCTTTTAGATTTTAAGAGAGAGGGATGAATTTTATTAACTACCTTTCAGGTTCGATTTATGATCTATAGATTTTTGCTACATTAACAATTAACAAATCGAAGCAGCGGTTTCGAAAATATAAACCCAATAACTACTATCTCAGGTTCACTATTAATTGTAAGTTAATATAATATTTGTAATAACTGGTGTGTATTTAAATAGTGTAGGCGAGATAGACCGAAAATGGGGTCAATTATGAAAAACGGGGTATGACAAGCGGGACTTTTTGGAAAATCATTAAGGGGGGCCCCTTGACTAAAATACTAAAAATGTGAGTTGGCATAAAATAATAAATTTGCACTTACCTTGGCAACACGATGGAAATTGCAATGCCGAGTGATGGAAGTGGCGCGTCTTTAACCATCTGATGTGGGCGACTATTTAGCTCATATTCACTCCAGCCCGTATCGCTCTCAACTCAGCCGGCATAGACGGCGACCAACGGGTATTGTACAAATTTCATCTCTACAACGACTAGCACGTACACGTCCATCAGTATTATTTTCGTTGCTTATGTTATTTATTTATGTATTTTTTTTAATCATCATCAACTATGGGTTTAATTGTTCGAGGGCGTCTTTGGTCAGGACTCGCGCGCACGCTCACGTGTACCTCTATAGATATACACCACCACATCACCCATAGCTGGTCCATCCCGACGACAAGGGCGATAATGATAATACCGTGGTGGACCAGAGGAGGAGACAAGCACAATATAATAAGGAAAAGTAGGAGGTGAAGAACGAGGAGGAGGCGTGACTTGACCCGAGTCTTGGTGTGCCGGCCAAACGTTGCGAGTTGACCGTGGGAACGGGTGACCCAAGAGCTATATAGACTCGTATAAAATACAAATTATTTTCAAAAATATCAGATCTATAATCGTTTTCCTATTAAGGCGTTTATTAATTTGTTATAAACGGTGAACGCACGCTCGAATAGCTCGTGCCATGGTCCAATATGGGTAAAAAATGTAATTAACATGAACGTGCCGGTCCGAACATATTATTTCAATTGTGTAAAAAATATATGAGTAGGTAGGTATTCTTAAATTGTACTGTCTATTAAGTCTTCGAATTGTATAGTTTTAACCATATTATTATAATGATCAACACATATTATACCGTACAAAAGTCGAAAAAACAATTTATGTAGGTACTTCATAATTATGTATCTTATGAAGAATCGTTACTCTTCACAGGATAAAGTACATTGTAAGACACTTATAGTTGATCTATTATCTAAAGTACATAGTTAGTTTCTATACAAATTAATAAAAAACTTAACTAATCTACCTAGTTAACTTAATTTAACCAAGTCAATATAAAATATTGATGGTTAATCCAACTTTGATAATAATTGGAGGATGCTGTGTTAACAGACATGATTGAAAATATGCTTTATAGAATATTAATGCTCATATTTATTAAATATAACATTTACAAGCTTAGAACTGTGTGTAACATATTACAATGTTAATTATTAATGTTGTTGGATTTTTGAAAGGGCTATGCACATTGAGTATGTCTCTCTAAGTATAATTATATCGTATATATTTCCATGTGAGTTTTGTGTCATATTCTGTAAAAATCACGTCTTAACTTCTTTAATTTACCGTTGGCGAGCAAAAAAAAACTTTTTAAACTAAAGGCTTATTAATTTAGTCGACTAAGTCTTTATAAAAATATTCATACTATTACCTACGTACATATAACTTAATTACCCAAGTATACAAAGTGTCCCACAAAGATCAGAGAAATTAAATAACTTTTGTTCTAGTGAATATTTTTAAGATTTTTTTTTTTAAATTAATTTATACTCATTTGCGCTATAAGCACCATATTTTTTGCGGCACTTAACGCTATAACACTCAGGGGGTTGTTACTTGTTTGAAATTACACTGTAAAAAAATCGCGGAATATATATATATATATAAATATATTAATATATACATATAATTTATAGATTATTATTATATGGGGCAGTATATGTATAGGTCATTTTAATTTACATATTTAGCAGTAAACTCGATTGGCCGAAAATAGTAATAGATGCAAATGCATTTATTATAAATTATAAAAGAAATGGGTATTATCGTTAATTTATAATCAATAGTATTATTTTAAAAACCAATAGGATAAAATTCGAATTAACAAAAAAATGTAACCATTAATAAAGTAGTTAAGAGTACATAAAGTATAAACATTGAACACTAATCCATAAAATAAAATATCATCACGTTTTTTTAAAACTATTCTAACCCTTCAATGTCCCGTTTTTTAATTTTATAACAAACAATTTTTTTATATAAAATAAATTATCAGGTATTTGAGAAAAATAAATAAAATAGTATACATCTGACAGAATTGCATGCATAGCATCTGGTAGATAGCGATTTCTTTATTTAATGTCTATAGCCATCTATTGCAATATATTTTTTCTAAGAATATAAATTTATGCAGCAAACATGTTACACTTCTGCTACAATAGGCACTGAAAGCCAAATACTAAAATTATTGCGATATTACCTATTTAGTAGCATTTTCAAACTGACTTAAAATGTAATTTCCTTGAGATATATGTACCAAAAACAAGAGGTCGTTAAAACGGTTTTTGTCGGGGATTTAATTAAAACCCCTACAATTTATTTTATTAAAGTACTACACCAGAATTTATTATGCTTAAGATTATGTTTTTTTGTACACTTACAGATTGTTCATTGTACCTACAAGGGGACGCCACTCACCCTATTTATTATTTGTTTGGTATAAGCAATACATTTTTTAGGAACTTAATATTTGGCTAAAACTGTTATGTATACGTCTAGTACAGTAATGTGGGTTCTTTGTTACGGTGATTTTTTTTTTGTTTACTAATACGCATTTATACTCATTTGTATTATACAGTTCAAACATTTATATTTGTATATCTTTTCTTAAAAAAACAAATTTGTCATCTTCCTAGCGTAATATTGTTAATATGTGTTCGTTGATTATCGACTATGTAATATTTAGAAAAAATTACTATTTAGCTAATAATTGTTTAATGTTAATTATAATATTCAAAATCCTTTTTTTTTTTTTAATTCTAGTGCTTTTCATGTGTGTTAACGTCGAGTTAAATTTAACCACGAACTCTTATATAATAAGAATAATACCAAACACAGATTTCAAGTTTAATAAATTGTTTATTTAAAATTATATCTGCTCACATACAACATAACAATGCTTAAAATGTAGTGTTGTCTACAAATAATTTTTATTTTTACTACGATACATGTTTTAATAGCTATAAAAATCTCACATAGTGAAATGATATAGCTTATATTTATAATATTAATAATAATAGTATTATAATTTATAGTTTATAGGATCACAACCAGGTCCCGTGGTTAAAACAATATCAATATTATTATTATCTATTATATTTCTCACATACATGTTGAATAGATTATAGTAGTATCTTAAACATACATGCGGTATTATTTTAATAGTATAGGTACATATTATATATAATATGGCGGGCGTTGTGATAAGTTTCATAAAATGGAGAACGTGTATGTTGTTATTAAATTTCTACAATGCAACGGTACGTAAAATATAGTATGAAATTTATGAATACATAAATATTGTGCACATTAATAAAAAAAATTAAGATTCTATTCTATTCTAAAAAACAGTCTCATTGAGTCGCGTATGACATTTGCGCATTAGCATATATTATAATAGTAATATTATCATATTTAAAAACAAAACAAGTGAAACACGGATAAATTTTACACTTATATTAATTACTATAGTCTATTACGTTCATGTATTTTTTTAAATATTCGTGAAAACCTTTGCACCCAAAAGGAAGATGAACAATATTTATTTTTACAAATTATTATAACCTATGACTTACAAATAGTTTTTAGTGTATGCGTGAATATAATATGTAATTATAATGTATAACATAAAAATTATAAATAGACTTTGACTAGAAAATAATAGGTATATTTGTTTTGCATTATTTTATAAACAACTATTATACATTGTAATAATAATATTATACTGTAATGTTGTTATGATTTTATTAGCTTAGAATAGCATTTCTCAAATATATTATATAAATATTAAGTTATAAGTAGTTATAGTAACATATTCATAGTATGTAAATTATGTAACTTTTTTTTTGTAATAATCAAATTTGTATATATTATATTTTAATATATACACAACATTGTAAAATATGGACGGCTGTACGACATGTGATTTGTTATTGCAAAATCGAAAAGGTTTTACGTCTTCTCTTTCCTTTAAAAAGGAATTAATAGTTTCACAATACATAAATAAAACTATATTTCATCCATATTCCACTACTAGGTTTCGAAAATTAAAAAAAAAAAAAAAATGTCGAAAAGAGGAATAAATTGTTTTTATTTAACGGTAAATAGTGAATACCTAATTATAAAAAAAAACATAGGATGTCGATAACGATAGCTTTAAAATTAATAAATAAATAAAAGTATTTACATTATCACAGAAAAACTAAACAAACCAGTTGTACTTTTAAATTAAATATACTATAAAATATGGCACTTTAAAACTAAAACATAGGCATAATATAATTAAAAAATAAACGGTTAAGTCCTAAACTGATTGGGGGTTGGAGTCTCAATAATATGGAAAACATTTTCATGTTTGTTAGAACCGGTAATATCATTATATTATATTTGTGGTAACTGCTCAGAGCAATTTTCTTGTTTAAGGAGCATACAAGTGACATTATTTTTTAAACGATTACAATTTCGAAAATGTAACGTATTCCTATTATAATAATTGTTTTAATTACACTCTATAATATACTATAATAGAATAGTGAAAAACTTCGATAGATTTGAAAGGTTATAAAACAAAATTTAATTTATAATAGGTGTGCCAAACTAAAAAATAAATAATATTAACAATTAAATTCAACATAACACGCTCGGGTTAAATTATTTATCTAAAAGAAAAATAAATTAATCATTAATATAATAGTGATACAAGATCATTAGTATTAGGAACATTTTGAGAGAGACGTGTAGAACAAAAGTTTATACTCAATTCAGTAATATTAAATACAGCCTATGTCCGTGTATAAATAAATAATAATAATCATGTATCGTGAAATATTTGCTCTTAAATTATATTTTAGTACAGCTTATATACTATAGTACGGTTATACTTTTTTTTGTCATAATATACATACTGTATCCACAAGTATACAGCTGTTGTTTTAGCTGAATAAATAAAATAAATAGGTAGATATACATTTTAGATTAGTTTTTATACTAGTTTTCAATTCCTAAATTCTATATAGTCATCACTCTTTATATACCAAATAATAAATTTAATTTACGTTTGTTTGTAAATTTAAAATAGCTACTTGCAAAATAATGGTCTATTGAAATAATACATGGTCGATGATACATGTTTTAATGAGTTGGTAGTGTTAAGTCACAATGCAAACATATGAAGTATAGAAGGGAAATTACAATTACTCTTGTCTAAGTATTAACATTTTGCTTGTTAAAGTTGGTTTTCTAATCATTTTCACCATTAGCATTTTACTTTAGCATACAATTTTTTAAAAAAAATAATAGCTCTAGTATACGAATAGCGAAATTAATTTCAAAGAATTAAATATATATCTTCACTACTACTGAAAATTTGCAACGAGTAATTCCTTGTTGGATGTCCAGTGTACATATATTTATAACGATAACAATTATCATAGAGGAACTAATGTTTGGGTATTTTAAACTTAATAGTACAATAATAATAGAAATAATATAGCTTAGATTTCCGTTTAAGTAATAGTAGAGTTACCTACTCTAAAGACTTTAAAGATTTTATCTAAAACGGACGTTCAAATACGACTTTTAGGATATAATATAAACAAAATATGTCAATAGAATAATAAATAATTATAAAAAAACGTTTTTAAGTAAACATCAGACAGGCGTTTAGAAGACAGTGTTAAAATTAAGTTTAGGAAAGGCCAAAGTTTTAGCGGTGGTCGAGATTCAATAATTATAATACGACACAAATTCTTACCCCACCAACAACAACAACCCAACATGACAACCAAAAAGAGCATATTTTGTAATTGAGAGTTTCACAACCATAAGTGATCATAAAACAAAACAATTTTATAAACCGAAGCATCGCGAGGAAAAGCCGATAGCTGTTTTGGTTTACTCTAGTTTTCTGAAGACTTTAAGTTAATTGACTTTTTTCAAAAATATAATTTTTGTTATTATTGTGCGCTTTGGTGACGAGGGCAAAGCAGTTAAAGTTTAAGATAATTTATGTTCGGGTGAGGGTGAAGGGGTAGTTTTTGGCAAAAGCAGGTTCTTGTGCATTTTATTGCATTGTAACGTGGTTACTGGTAACTGGGACGACACGGATATGCAAATGGGTTGATCGGTTTACGACGGCCGCTCAAGCGTTTGACTCTTTGAGGTTGTCGAAGTACTCCATCAGTTGCTTGTAGTCCATGCCCAGGTTAAGGTCGTCCAATTTGATCGTGTCCGCGTTGCCGGACGAGCCAGGTTGTTGCAGGTGCTGTTGTTGCTGTTGTTCAACAGCCGACGCCGTAGGTTCAAATGCGAACATAGGGTTGCCTATGATGGCCGCCCGCTTGACGTCCATCGACCTCCTATGACAGTTCTCCACGAACACCGGGTCGGAGTTCCTTTCCAGTGCCTTGCCGCTGTTCAACGGTCTGCTGCAGCCTGTGAATTCCATAAACATTCGATTAGTATAGGTAAAAGATCGAGCCTATAATGTTTAAATTGACCCAAATTATTTTTGAGTATACTCAAAGAACATGTGTTCCCTATTCAGTCCATTGTGTAAACAAATATCCTAGCGATTCAAGAACTGACTTCAACTATAAAGTAGCATATTGTTATAAACAAACATATTAGTTGTGCGATAGCTGGTTAAACAGTGCCTGAACACTTTACCGAAGCACCGGCTTTGTTCACATACCTTGACTTTTGTTGCGGTGATGATGATGATGGTGGTGATGACGTTTGGGTGGCGGCGGTGCCGATTCGTCGGTGTCTAACGTGTCTGTCACTCTGGCAGAAATGTTCGATTGTGTTCTATGGGGCGGCACAGGTGGACGATAGTCAGTAGGCTTCTCTAGGTTCTGATCGTTGGGCGTCGGAAGTCTGCAAATGCAGAAAAAATTATAGAAACTAACGCATTGTTTACGTTTTTTAACTATATAAACCAGAATTAAATAAGGTGTATTTATTATTTTAAGAAATAAACTAATATCGCGGCAAAGTCGATCGTTAGAACTTAATTATGTTTTACGTTGATGGAAATCAAACAAACTGAAAACATAATTACTTGGCGGTTGAATTCAAAGAAGTGAAAGATGGATAGAAGTAATAAAATATCAAGACGTTAAATTTAGAGTAATAAAAGCAAACCGAAGACCAAGATGGAATGCAGGAGCGGGTATTTATCGTTATGTTTTTCGAAATCGAATTAGTAAGGGCGCGGCCGCAATTAAACGGGTTAGTTCATTAAGGTTAGTAGACTACCTAATTATCGCTTTGGGGATACGTACCACGACCGAGGCTGCAAGTAACGTGTTCAGGGTTCAGATATGATAGTATATAGAAGAACAAAAAAAATCAATAGACAAACAACTTTTGACGGTAAATAACGACGGTGACTTTGTCGAATGCAGAAGGTAAAGTGGTGGCAATAAAAGAGAAAGAAAAGGAGTAAAAAATATAAAACTGAAAACCGCTGTTGGGAGGTTTCTACTGAATGTACATTATATAATAAAAGAAGGTATTGGCTTGAAATGGGCGATAAGGAAAATCGGATGTGCGCGGCAGATGGTTCTAATGGTTTTCTACACGCGTTTCCCCCTTTTACAGAGCCTCAATATTGCAAAACCAATACTCGGATAGTTACAAAAAACAAAATGCTCACACTTTCCACAGCTTATTGAAAACGACATTGCCGTTCTGGGATAGTCTGTTCTTGACGTTATAAGTGGACGTGTTGATTGCTGGAACATTTGAACTCTGGTTGCTGTTGTCGTCAACGCCATAAATAGGATTCGACAATATCCGCATGTTATCATTGTTGTTGCTGTTGTTGTGCGATTTATTACACATCGAGGGCACCAGCATGCCGGATGACCGTTCCAGAGTAGATCTTCCCAACCACACCCAGTCGTGGGCGTTTATAGTCTGTTCCTGAGACAAAGGTTTATTGGCTGCACCGGAGCATCCACCGTCATTTGCCCCGCCGTTCCTCATCAAAGATTTCTCTGATAAAACAATATAAAAATTACAAAAAATAATTAACGAACAAAGAGTTTTTTATGTGCGTGTTGATGTACTCACTCGTCACTTTGCAGGTAACTGGCGCCTCCAACGAAGTCTGTTTATACGTGGAAGCACACACTAAGCAGGCGATGACAAAGGCCAAGATGGCGAAACACAAAGTGGTCAACAGTGTATACATGCCCAGCTCGAAGGGACTCAAGTGGGTCTGGACTTTGTGAGCGTGCACCGTAGTACTACCCCCGGCGTTGCCAACCATATTGTTATTGTTGTTGTTGTTGTTGTTGTTGTTATGTTGGCGAGCTTGTACGGTCGGTTCATCGTTATTTTCATCTTTAATGCCAGTCAAACCTGGGCAAAAAAGGTTTAAACAATGTAATCGAACACTTGGAGAAGTGTTTTTTGCTTATTACAAACAAGTCAGACTATTTTCCGGTAGCGAAACTATAATCCTACACGCATTAACTTTTTGTAAACGAGAATATGAATATTTTGTTTTTATCCGAAGCGTACCCTTTGAAAAAAAATCCATTATAGGCACGTGTTCTCGTTTTTTAGATGATATTAGCAAAACCTAACAACGTTCTTTAGCTTCAATAAGACAAGATATGAATTCGAGCCAACGTAAACCGGCATATAATATATTATTCCAAACAAAATACAAATGTTATTATATTTTTTTAAATAATTATGTCACACATTTAAAACACTGTTATTGTGTTATAGCAGCAGTTGTAATTACTGATATTACTTAAAAACCGAAGGCGTTCATTTTCTCGGTGGCGTCTATTTTGATGATTACGCCCAAGTATTAATTACAAAATTACCGTATATTAGTCGAACCGCAGTCGTTGAAACCACGTAACGCTTTAAAAATATATCGGGAAGCATATTATGTTCAGCGCGAGTCTATTTCCAGAGATAATATTATGTATAGTACCTTTTAATGTGCGAAGCTAATTATTATCTAACGACCTACTGCTGCTGCTACCATTAGACCGACACAATAAAAACGCGTAGCCCGGTAATAAATTATGGCATTTCAATTGAGCGTATGGAGATTCGATTAACGGACCAACTAGTAATTGTTGGCCAAACAATAGCGCTTATAGAAAGCAAACAAAGACGTCGATTCAAAGAACTGCAGTCACCGGTTTTAAAGATAAAGTCGAAGCATCGGTGGTGCTTTCTCGTTCAACTTGCGGTACGGCTAATTGAATACAAACAAACAAAGGCTGTACATTATACCGAATTTCCTACGCTGTGGATTGAAAAGAAAATGGTCGACTACTACGGTAAGTATAATTGTTTAGGTAATTACTAAGGTCAATTAGGTTTATTGCGGTAATGCGAGCGGATCGAAACAATTTTATCCAAGTCGCGGTATTCATAAATAAGCGTTTCACATCAATAGGTACGGCGTCTTTATAGTGTTTTTTTATTGACTTCCATCCAGTACTATCAAGGGTACATTATAATTTATATTTTATACTGAAACTCGTTGCTTTAGGGCATAGAACAACATGGACAGAAGTGTTAATATATTTTATTAACAGTATAGGCTTACCTATTTTTTCTTTGTGATCCTTTTTTTCCTTGGGCGGTCCGACGTTGAGTATTCCACTGCCGCCGCCGTCGTTTTGCACGAACTGCTCTACAGCGTACGGGGACAACGAAAAGTCAACTTGTACGTCGGCGGCCGTTTCGCTGAGCGTCATTTGGGTCTTGCGACCACTGTTGCCCGCACCTCCAGCGCAAACGTCGGGCGGCCCGAACGATACGCGTAATAGTTGTCCCTTGCCCGATCCGACGGCTATGACGCGAGGATGCGGCGACGCGGCCATGGGCGCAAACGCCACAACGTCCGGGTTGATGGACTCAACGCGCAACGCGTAATCGGCCATGGCCACGGATCGCAAAGGCGTTCGCGTATCGTCCGAGAACCACAAATCAATGTCCAGCAGGCCTTCTTGATACTTGGCCGTCAGTTTACGGGTGACAGACGTCTCGGCTATGTAATTGTTGTCGGCCGCCGCGTCCGGTCGGATATTCAGCTGCAGTCCGGACACCACGTTCACCGCCAGTCTAGACACGCTCACCTTGTCGCTGACCACCCGGATTTCCTTAGACACCAGCACGTGCCCGGACAGCGCCGATATCACTTGGATCTCAGTTCTGCCCACGTTGTGGCCACGCACGATCTGTCCCGTGATGGACGCCACCCGGGGATCGGATGACCTCAGGTAATGCAGTAATAGATCGGTAACTTTCAGCCATGTCCTGCGGTTGACAAAGTAACTTACTCGGCCAGAATCGTGATCTGTCGCCTTGAATCTCGCATAGATCTGATATATACAACATACGAAAACACATTAAACCGTTTAATATTTAGTTGATAAATATTTAAAAAAAATATATTATATTATATTTTCAGTACATAAAAATACTGGAAACATTTAGGGAAATTGATTCACAACAAACATTACATTAAGCAAAATCAAGATCCTTCTATCGTAAAAAAAATAATTCGCGTTTATAGATCGTCTTGCTAAAATATTTTACGACGTGGATTATCTATGTGTGTACATATATTAATACTGTATATAACTTTCGAGTATTCGAATGATTTTAATGATTTTGAACTTCCCGAACGCATGCACATTGTTATCAATAAAGAAAAACAGCGGGAATATAATTTAAACGGCTCGTACTACACGTTTTAATTATGATACGACGGGCAAGTTCAATAAAACGTCATCTTCAATTCAATTGTTTCAAGTATGTACATCCGGTTCGTTCGTTTAAAAAGACACTAATAATTACCTCGACAGACGTCTGCTGGAATCTCAGCTGACAGCTCGCCTTCCTGTCGTACTCGTCGGCAACCATGTCCTCGGTGATCATCTCGTTGAGCCGGAAATCTATCGGTTTTAAACCGCCTTTGCTTTCGGTCGACCTCTTCAACTTGTTAGCGTAACTATACAAAAACCAAACATGTTGTCAGATTACTGTTACAATTGTTATCGTTTATAGGTGTCGTTACTCGTCCATGTCGTCGTCGGCTTCCACGCTAGCCGGCACTCTCCAACCTTTGACCTGGTTCAGTTTCTGGTCGGCGATGGTCAGGTCCATTTCGTTGATTTCCGGCACCCAAACAATAAAGTGTGCCGTGCCCGTGTAAGTCTCGTACTTGACGATCACCGTGGCGTTAGACGATCCCCGGATCTCCGAACCGTCTACGTACACCGAACTGCATGACGAAGTGACCTGTAAGAAGTGACCAAAGGTAATAATAGGAAACGACAAGGTCAACATTATGGAAATCACGTTTGCTCGCCAAAGCAATCTAACGTTTGTCGTCGAAATAATAATAATATTCCAAAGATAATTACTTTTAGAACGCTGTCGTCTTCCATCTGACACGTCGACTGACGGGTAACGTCCGAAATCTTACCGGAATAGCTCACCACGAACACCTTCATGGCGTGAGATATCTGCTTGCCGGTTAAGACGGCGGTGTTGATGATCTCCCAGTTCTATAAAAACACCAATCGAACCCAACTCGTTTCAATAATATTCAGAATGTTACGCACCGCTAATATACAGACGCCGCCTTTTCCTTTCGAGACCGAGGGCTTAGTATAGTTTTTTTGTATCAGAATACAAAAATCAGAAATCTAAAAATGTTTTGTTTTAAATATTTTATACGTTGTAGCTCGGGCTTTCGGCCCACATGTAATAATAAATAAATAATACGACGACACCGATTGCAACCCTTTATTGGTATGACCCGGCGTGTTCAATACATTCGGGGCGAAAGTCATCAAACTCATGTCAATGCCATCCCTGCGCGCGAAACGCCTCCGAATCAGAAGAGCAATAAACAATTTTGATTTTCCAATCGATTCGTCAATGCCGTTTGCGCGCCGCCTCCGCCGCTATTACATGTTCGCAGTTTCGCAGTAATGGTATTTGTCTATGAATAGGTCATATAAAGGTGAAACGCGGCACACACGTTTGTCACCGTCTGCCGATGTGCAACCCTCACGTGGGTACAAGCGGTGAGAACAGTGATTCATCGGCAACGGCTAGATGTGGGGAATGACAGGTGGCGCACAACGACCACATGGGCTGCACATCATAATATAGCGTTTACTACGCTCTGGGGATTTCGGCGCGGGAGCCTAAGCGGGCAAGCCATAATAACAATGATATATGTAATGTTGTACAGTGAGTCACAAGCGTGGCGGTTACAACGATGGAATTATTATTAATTGAGTTTTCCACACGTGTGCGCACGCCGAACAAAAATAATATGACATCGCGTATTATAATAATACCATGACCGAAGCTCCGTTGAAGTTAAAGTTTTGAACAAAGTTTGACGAAATAAAACTGAGCAAGTGCCAATATGTCAACAGGCATCGCGGGTCACGACGGCAATCGTTTCAACTGTGCCATTTGTAAAATTAGCAACAACAACCGATTACGCAATCCGTCGTAATCAGTTAAATATCCCCAGTAATTTCAATGAAATAGCATAGGATGGAGTGAGATCTTCGTAGTTTTCAGTTTGCACGCACACCCGTTATGTTTACCCGTACGCTCGACGTGTTATCGTGGCAAACAGCTGTCGCGTTATTATTAAAACGGTATAGTTACAAAGGTCGGTTAGGGGAGGGCGATCAGGCAAGATAGGCGCTTCTTAAGACCACGCGTATTTGTTGTAAAATCAAAATAATGATACATTATTGTTACAGTTATTGTTATTATGAGTTTCAAAACTACTTTTGCCTTTACAAAATATAACAGATAAATACGACAGATCGTAAACAGCCATCTAATGATCAAGAATAGACGTTATAGGTAAAATGATGACTACATCCTACTAACTTGAATACAAATTATCGCTTAACTGACCGTGAGCGTTAGATTGATTTGAATAAAAGGCTAATATTTTTGCTACCAAACAAAAGCTAAATAAAAAACAACAGATTTCTGATTTTTGATTTTCTTAGTACGTTTTTTTTTAAATATACGTTTGAGTAAATAATCAATACTTGTTGGGTGCATACCTTGGATATAGGGAGTACGGCTTCCGTGTCGTCCTTGTGTATCTCAAAACGAGCAGATATCTTACGCTTGACTCCGTCCAGCACGCCGTTGACTCCGTCCAAGTAAAGCATTTTAGTGGCACCAGCGGCACGTCTTACTGACCTGCGTTGACCAGCTACCAGAGCTGCTTGTCTGCGATGGTGTTTGTACGCGGAACGATGGCGGTCTGCTTTGGGCGGCACGGCGGCGGACGTCCAATTGGTACTGTTGCCAGTAGCCTCCATGACATACTGCACCGTCCACACGACTCGTCCCTCGTCCCAAACGTCCTCCGCTTCCGTGTCAACCTGAAGCAACCACTGGAGCACTTCTTCGTACCTGGAATTGGGCCAAGCAGTCTGCCCGTTGTTGGGTAAACCCTTGTGCACGGCGGTCACTGTGATCTGAGTGCCTTTCGGGTTCGAAGTGTAGTTTACGGTCCACCGATCCGGAGCGCTATTCTCGGCGTTTAAAACGCGCAATCCGTTTTTGACTTTGGCTCTGTAAAAAAATAGCAATCATTGCAAAACGCAACCGCGATAAATATGATGTTTTGTCGTCGATAACTTACCTGAGTATGAAGCCTTTGATGTTCTGTACCTTGGGCCCGGCGTCGAAAAAGACGGGAACGTACGTAAACGATTTGGGATAAAGTGGCGCCGACGGCACGAGAGTTAACAGGTAAGCGTCCGTCTTGAGTTCTTTGTACGGTCGTTGGGCATGTTCCAAGGCGGCTTGTCCGATGTAGGTGAACGGTTGCAGCTGAACGTCCGATTGACTGCACCTGTGGTCGGACTCCAACAGCGCGTACGATATCTGCACGTATCGTTGTGGCGTCTTCACCGGCTTGGCGTCGGGCGGGTTCATCGGCGGCCACCACTTGGCCGGCAACACCAGCCTTGCGGTACACACACCGTCCTTGGGGTCCGGTTTGCAGGCGGCTGTCACCGGACGGTCGGAGCCTTCGAACGTAGCCTTGGCTACCGCACACAGTTTCCCGTACGACGATCGCAATCCAGGGCCGCCGGTCGCGCCTCCCTTGTCACTGATACCGCCAATACCACCGACCACCACCGAAGCGGACGGCGGTGGCCTGACCACGCTGTAGCCGACGTGGAACAACGTCCTGACCACTGGATTCTCGCGGTACACGTGTTCCTGGACGAGGTGCGCGGATACGTCCATCGACGAGATGTCGGCGGCCAACGAGGACGGCGGTGAGCCGGTGCCGTTGTAATTATTGGACATGGCGGCGCTCGGGTCTGGGATGAGATACCGGGACGGCACGGTCTGCTTGGTGGAAAACGGCCCGTAGCTGGCACGGATCGACGTCTGAGGCACATCCTGTAAAACTGTAAACCTGTCTATGCTCAGCACGGCGCCTTCGTTATCGTCGGACTGCTGTTGTTGCGACTGACGGCCTGTTCCCAGAGGATGACGAACGAAGAATCCTCCGTCCGGGTTGTCAAAGTGTACCTCCACGGGCGAGACATAACCTTTAAACATACAAACGATACCATTAAGATTTCGAATAATTAAAACTTTTAATCGCAGTCACACACTTACAGTACTGGACTATGCATGTCTGTGCAAGTGTGTAATCGATAAATCTTACATGATATTATATGATATTAAGAAATATGAATAATTGGTTTGAGAACCATTGTCAGTTAAAAAAACATAATCAAGTACACCATAACATAAGAATACAGTTATCATAATAACCAATCAAGAAAATCGTTTGTAATATGTTTTTAAGAACGATCATCTTAATTAAGGCAAAATTTCACTAAAAACAAAAGTAGGGGTAAAACTAATACCAGTGAATCGATTTAAGCCGACGAGTGGTTCAAGGGTAGATTTCCATTTTGTTTTTTTTTTTCGGTTGTGCGTATAGTCGAACAGACACGCTACAGTGGTATTAGTATACCCGACTTAGATGGTATATACGACGAGTGTTGTTGTTTTAAACAAAGAACACGGCACATAGCAACCAATTGAATCGTAAAGCGATAAACTTTTGGCAAACTACCGATAATCGCGTTCATAAAAGGCGCCGTTAAATTATTATGTGTGTTTATGGAACGGATTTTACCTAAGTTCAACAGTTGTACCCCGTGCCGAAGGGGGTGGAGGGCGGTTGCGGGTCTCCTCCAGTGTTAAGTTTATATTAATGTTATTTTGTATACGCGTGGTAAATACCAAAAGTCGGTTTATTCGATACCAGTGCCGACCATATTAACTTGCACGGTTTTGTACTCGGCCAACATACGCGGTCGCCGCTTAAAAGTTTACTCGGTCGTGTACGCGACACGAATTATTATTTGTTTGTGCGACTATTCGGAAACTCGAGTTGGTCGAGTTTTACTCTCATATTGACTCATGTCCAAAATAAAAAAACGTAAACCTATAAAAAAAATCACAAAAACCCCGCGTTTAACGTAGAAAATTTTGCCAAGCATTTCAGAATTTTATTAAATAACGACAACGTATAGCTAAGCCGGTTTTAGGCTTCTAACAATGTTCAAATCGGGTTGCATTCAAAAACTTGATAAAAAATTCTGTACAAAGAACCAATAGTTAAGCTTATCGATACATTAAACGTTTTTTAATCGACTAATTTTAAATTCTTAACAAAACAAAATGTAGCAAAACAGTGAACACGTTGCAGGATTTTTTTCAAGTGCTTTACCATAAAATTATGCCTTAATGCAGCTAGTGCCATATTGGCTTGACAATACACTGACTTTAGTTATAAAATTTTATGGGAAAATGACACGGTAGTGTAGAAAATGGCCTTTATTTTGGTTCCTTTGTAAAACAAATGAGTTAAATTACCATGCGGATCAAGAGACAACTGACAAGTGAACTTTGGAAATACAACAAGGAAAGCGTGACAAAGAGGTCTGTCGAAGTAAATCCTTTATCTTACACAAAATATTTAATGATAGTGGGGAAAACTTAATTTCACTGTTTGAATTTCCCATGGAAAACATCACGTTCCCTTATTTAGTTTATATTACCGGATGTTTGATTACAAAAGTTTGTTTTTGTACGATGAATATTCGCGTTAACACATGACTTTTCTTATGAAAATTATCATATTATAAGTATGTTATTTGATAGTTTTAAATAACATTTCATATCCTTTTTGCTCTATTTGTATTACTGAAATACCGCCAGTCTTGTCGATTAGTAAACCACGCACGGCCGCCACCGACAAACCCACGTGGGAAAAGCTTAACGCAATAAACTTTTTCGCCGAAAATTCACACAAAAGAATAATATATATATATATACATATACACACGGGTTCGTTGCTTGGTTCGAGTTCATGCGGTTCTATAAGGAGTTTATTAGTATCCGTTTCGGATGAAAAGCACGTTCGCTAACTTATTTTATTGAATGCGGCAAAACTGCTATAAGTTTGCGAAATCGATACGACCGACCTACACATCAATAATTATAATACATAAATAAAACATACAACGAGAAACACTCCAAATAGATATATCGTAAAAAATAGAACCGTTGTTTTCTTGTAAAGATTGACTTTTTAGACACCTATGGGTCGCGAACGGGTTGATTTGGTACAACCATGTTCATTTATAGTTTATGTTATTATGATGTTTGCACACACTTGTTCGTGACCTGTACAAGTTAAGACTTTGACGATAAGAGTAAAGAGAAAAATAGTAGGCTCAGAATAAAAGAGTTTTTATTAAGAAAAAAATATATTTTCGATTTTGTAAGTAACAAATTTTGGTATTTACTGCGAATATTTTACAATTTGAGGTTGTATTAATGAACAAGGAAAATTTGCAGGTCTATGAGAATTATTTTAACTGAAAGTGGTATGTCACTTTAATATAAACGCTTCGATGCGAATCTGTAGAATTTAAAACTACCAAAAAAAAGTATTGTAAGAGCTACAATATGGTTAAATTTATATTTTTAATACTAAGGATCGTCAATACGATTAGGAATTCAGTTGTCTATAATAATTTGTTGGTATTGTTACCCATACACCGTATTTAACAATATAATGAGACTATTTTTATTTTTCAGATACATGTTGTTGAAATTCCGACTTTTCCCCTGATTTGAGTTTATTTATTTATTGTTAAGTTTTCAAGTTAAATAAATATATGATTCGTTTTGAACTTAACCAATATAATTTCGTATAGTATAACTTAAATCTTAATGCAATAAAGGTTATTTATTAAATTGCCAGCTTTAATAACTTCCGGCAATAACCGTACAATAATATGTCAGTTTATCGTACCTAGCCGGTTTCCGTTTTACTATACACCAAAGTCTAACTGACGTGAAACTAAATAATGATTATTTTCAATAATACATGATTTATTTTTAAACCATTTGAAAACTAATATTCATTTTGACACGCTCGAACGGTAACGTTGTACACGATTGGATTTGTGTAAATGCGGAAAACGCAATGCGGCGGTTTACATATATTATGTACATTATGTCATCATCATAATAATTGTATTTTTATTTTTTGAAACCCTTCGAAACGTTTTATACGCATACACACATAAATGATTAAAACGAAATCGAATTTCCGACAATACCGTCCCAGTAACCATGTACAAAGTGAATACGATGAACTGACAGACGTACACGGTACACACTACATAGGTATTATAATTTGTATGTAAATTTGTCATATCAAAGCGATACGCAGAGCAAACAACGCCATGTGTGTTTAAAACGAACGCCATAAAGCGTTTTTGTAATTATTATTATTGTTATTATTATTATTACTATTATTGTTGCAGCGTTGAACGTTATACAGATACCTACAGTGTTTACATGATGTATATTTAACATGTAATACTGTTTGCAATTGTTAATGAGTTGCCGTTGCTCTCGATACGATGCATCTACAAAGTGGGATATATCATGTACACACGTGGGAAAGACACTAAACGTTTTAATTATCGCCCAATTTTTGCGCAATTAGTACACATTATACATATTATATGCGAGAAGCGGTTGTTTCGATGTAGTCATTTGTTGTAATAATATACTTGCGTTCAGAAATCGGGTTCTCGGCAGCAACGCGGCAAAGACAACAACAGTAAAAAAAAATATTATAAGCAAACAGGTTACAAGACAAAAAAACACAAGTGACTACTATGTATAATGATTTCGTCTTAGGAACGTTTAACATAGCCGAAAAAATAAAACACATCAATAACAAGGAAAAAGATCCACAGAGAGATTAGCTAACTACTAGACGTCGAATATCATATAATTATTTTGTTTTAAACGAGTCTTTGTTGTACACGCTAAAAAACTATACACACATACAGGGTGGTTCATTGAAAGATAAGACATTTTTTTCCCTTGAAATAATTACCATCTTGTAGTTTTTCTTTTTGGGGACACCTTAGTTATTTTATTCTTTTAGGATATTAAACAATATTCAATTTTGTGTCTTTTTAAATTTTTTTTAGAGCTCAAACAACTTTTCAATCTTAAACTATAAAGTACATAATTAATTATCATTTTAAAACGGAAAGCGCTATTTATTAATTGGCAAAAGATAGGAAATATTTGACAAAAATTGATCTAATAGCCATTTTTCATATGCCTACTTATTTCAATGTGAACACATATTACAATTTTCTAATTATAATACTTTTAAAGATATTTTTCTCCGAGTTATGACAAAAGTTTGATAAAAAATGACTTTTGTAGATGTCATTTTCTTGCGTATCTATTGACGGATTTCAAGTTTTTTTATTTTTATGCGAAGCTTACTGTTTTTTCTTAGTATGTGGGTGGGGGCCAGAATACACCCACGGCAATCCATGCCCGTCGTAAAAGGCGACCAAAATGGACCTAGCAATGGGCAGCAACAATGTTAGTATCAAGTATAGATTTATCTATACTTGAATAACATCCCTTAGTAATAAGAGATGCCATTGCGACGCAGAAGGCAACGGGATACCACTGCATTAATTTTCCCAAATACCAATCAATGAAGGTTAAACATCAGAGAAGAATGGAGAACCAGATTTGCAACGACAAGGCAATGCCTTTAGTAGAGAAGAAGAGTAATTATCCAAAACTGGTTATCGACCAGTCGAAATGTTCAGCAAATTATTTTCAATTTAAAAAGTTAACCATATATGTTACCATTTAAGTTTCAAAAGTTGATAGAGCTCTGGAAAATACTAAAAAAGGTAAAGATTTAGTAATTTTATAATATTGTTTAACAACATAAATGAAATGTCTTAAAAAATATAAACCACAAAGTTGCAAATATTTTAAGAAAAAATAAGTTTTGTTCTAAATAAATGACCATTAGCCATGTACACATACAACAAAAAAATAATGGAAAAACGTGTGAGTGGCCATATAATACAGCCCAATGAGATTCGGTCGCTCTGATAGCTCCTCGGAAATATTATTTTTCGAATATAAATGGAGAACCTATCTGTAGACCCGCCGAAGGATTATCAAG